CCACAGGGTGGAAAAACAGAGAGACAGAAAGCGAGAAACTGCCTTTGTGGAACTTCCTAGAATGATTCAAGCCGAGAAAAAAGCCAATTATCCACTGGGGCTGGCACGCAAGGAGAGCTGCCTAGGAGTGGCTGAGCAGACATTAACGGCAACCGCAGTCTCTGAATGCATGCCTTGGAACAGGCAAATCTGTTCCTCTCGCTTTCTAATTTTCCCCTGCTCCCTGTCTTAAGATCAGTTCCCTGCATTTCCACAAGAGCTTGTGGTTTTATTTTGATTTTATTAAGTCCTGGTGGAAGTCCACCAGCGTTTTCACTGGTTGGGGAGGAGGTTAAATGAGGAAGGGGCACTGGCGGAGGAACAGGGGACATGCATCACGCCTCCGGGATGCCCCCAGCCACGCCCACGCCTGCTCTCTGTGCCCCGCCCCTGCGCCAGAGCTTGAAGCTCCAGCCCTGAGAAGGGGAGCTGCTTACCAGAGAAGAATGGCAAACCAAGCTGATGGACGATGCTGAAATGGAAAATCTGACTGGAAAACTCAGGAACCAAGAGGACAAAAATGTTACAAATAATGGGAAATTGTTTAAGGTTGTCTAAGAGACCACTTCCCCCTCTTCTTCTCCCTCTCTCTTTTTTCTTTTTTGAGCCTCCTTTCTTGGTCTTTCTCTTTCTGATTTGTTAAGAAATGCATGTAAGGGGAAAAAATTAATTTTAATTTTTATCATCTACAATAATGTCTTATTTATTTTATAGTACAGTATATTGATTATTGCCTTCATTTTATGGATCAATGGTCTCGTTAAATTGCTGTTTTAGGGGTTGTTTTTCATTGTCTGGAACGGATTAATCCATTTTCCATTACTTTCTATGGGAAAGCGCACCTTGGTTTAAGAACGCTTTGGACTTCTGGAACATATTAAGTTTGTAAACCGAGGTACCGCTGTACTTTAAAAGATGTGGGCTCACAGATAACATTTGCATAAAACTGGCACATGCTTGTTGCTATCTCCATGCGCGAATGTGGAATTTAAAAGTCACAAAAGGCAAGCCAGCCAATTCCCCACCCAAATTACCCAATTAAATTGATTGATAACCCCACCCCAAATTAGCTCCTACTCCATTCATTTAACCCCTAATTGAGCAGGACATGTTGCAACGCCAAACCCGTCAATTTGCCCCAGTAATTATCCCTCACATCTCCTCCGGATAAAGTGGCCTCATTTATTTATTACGTAAAATTTATACACTATTGATTGTTTAAAAAATCACACCAAACAAACCTCAAAGCTGATTACAAAAAAAAGGGGGGGTGAGAAAAAGCAAGAAAAATCAACAACCCTCCTTTAAAACATACAGAAGTTAAAATACTAAGGAAGATTAAAGTTACCTCCACATTCTAAGCATTTGGGCAGGCTTGTCCAAACCTGAATGTTTTTCGCAGGCGCCAAAAAGAGTACAGTGGTACCTCAAGTTAAGAACTTAATTCGTTCCGGAGGTCTGTTCTTAACCTGAAACTGTTCTTATCCTGAAGCACCAATTTAGCTAATGGGGCCTCCTGCTGCCGCTGCACCGCCGGAGCACGATTTCTGTTCTCATCCTGAAGCAAATTTCTTTACCCGAAGTACTATTTCTGGGTTAGCGGAGTCTGTAACCTGAAGTGTATGTAACCTGAAGCGTATGTAACCCATTAGGTACCACTGTAGAGTAAATGATGGCCATGATGTTAATTTATATCCTGCCTTTTGGCCAGATCAGGACTCACGGCAGCTTACCCAAATTGGAACAAAATATTGTTTATTCCTCCCCCAGCTCCCCCAAATCCTAATACAATGGTACCCTGGGTCTCAAACGCCGTGGTACTCAAACGCCCTGGTTCCCAAACACCGAAAATCCAGAAGTATTCCAGTTTTTGAACGATTTTCAGAAGCCAAACGTCTGATGCGGCTGGCAGCTGTTGTCTCTGGGGCGCCTGCACCAATCAGAAGCTGCCCCTTGGTTTTTGAAATTTTCAGAAGTCAAACAGATTAAGTCTGGCACTTTTGCCTTTGCTATTTATTTTGCATTTTTGCTTTTTCAGTTAATTTGTTTTTGTGACTGTGTGGAACCCAGTTCACCTACTGATTGATTGTGTGACTGCGGAAATGGACCAAAGCCCCCCATCCAAACAATGACTATCATTGTAAGGAAAAAATAATAATTTAAATTTTTATCATCTACAATATTGTCTTATTTATAGTACGGCGCCTTGTTTATTGCTTTCATTTTATGGATCGGTGGTCTTGTCAGATAGTCAAATTCATGCTAAATTGCTGTATTAGGGGTTGTTTTTCGTCGTCTGGAACGGACTAATCCGTTTTGCATTGCTTTCTATGGGAAAGCGTGCCTTGGTTTAAGAATGCTTTGGTTTAAGAACGGACTTCCAGAACGGATTAAGTTTGAGAACCAAGCTACCACTGTATCCTAATTGTTAACTCAGATCATGTTCCATTTCATAACAGAAGAACAGAGCCTGCTGGATCCGGCCAATGGCCTTACCAGTCCAGCATCCTGTTCTCACACCGGCCAATTAGATGCCTGTGGGGAACCCCCAAGCAGAATTCAAGCACAAGATCAGCCTTCCCCTCCTATGGCTTCCAGCAGCTGGGATTCAAAGCGTTGCTGCCTCTGATTATAGATTCAGAGCAGGGCCTTTATATGTAGTATCCATCGACAGACCTCTCCTCCTCCGTGAATTTGACAAGTCCTCTTTTAGGACCCTCGTACCTACGGGACCGCCTCTCCCGGTATGCCCCACAGAGGACCTTAAGGTCCATAAATAGCAACACCCTAGAAGTGCCCTAAGGAAGTCAGATTAGCCTCAACCAGAGGCAGGGCCTTTTCAACACTGGCCCCGGACTGGTGGAACGCTCTGTCTCATGAGACCAGGGCCCTGCAGGATCTGATTTCTTTCCGCAAGGCCTGTAAGACAGAGTTGTTCCGCCTGGCCTTTGGCTTGGAATCAACTTGATCCCCTTCCCCTCTTTCCTTTCTCCTTCTGTGATGGAACTCCTATTTGGGGACTTCCCTGGCTTTTTTCTGGCCCACGTAGGACCAGTCTGGATAGCTGGCCTTGCTGAAGATTTGACGTTTTCATCCCCCAAAAGTTTTTGATTTGAGTTTCTACTGAAATGAGGCTGCTTTTTAATGTATTTTAATCTTGTTTTTAAGTTGTATTTTAATCAATTGTTTTATACCTGGTGTTAGCTGCCCTGAGCCTGGTCTTGGCTGGGGAGGGTGGGGTATAAATAAAAATTTATTATTTATTATTACAGTGGTACCTCAGGTTAAGTATTTAATTCGTTCTGGAGGTCCATTCTTAACCTGAAACTGTTCTTAACCTGAAGCACCACTTTAGCTAATGGGGCCTCCTGCTGCTGCTGCTGCTGCTGCGCCGCCAGAGCACGATTTCTGTTCTCATCATGAAGCAAAGTTCTTAACCTGAAGCACTATTTCTGGGTTAGCGGAGTCTGTAACCTGAAGCGTATGTAACCTGAGAAACCACTGTATTATTAAAGCCACCCAAAATGGTGGCCATCACCGTCCCCTACGGGTGGGAGTTCTACAGTTTAACTATACGCTGTGTGAAGCACTTCCTTCCATCTTTTCTCAATCGTCCAACATTCAGCTTCTTGGAATGTCTTCGAGTTATAGATGGTTTTGACCTAGAAAGCCTTAAACGGCTCAGGACCGCAGTACCTCAAGGTCTGCCTCTTTCCATATGAACCTACGCAAACCCTGAGATCATCTTCTGAGGCCTTCCTTTGTGTGCCTCCTCCTCGAGACATCCGGAGGGTGGCAATACGAGAAAGGGGCCTTCTCTGCAGTGGCTCCCTGTCTGTGGAATGCTCTCCCCAGAGAAGTTCGCCTGGTGCCTTCATTATACACCTTTAGGCACCAGGCAAAAAGTTCCTTTTTAACCAGGCCTTTGGTTGTCCTGATTGACATCCTATGCCCATTTAATATGTGTGTGGGTTTTTTGGGGAGGGCTTGTTATTGGGTTGTCGTTTTTACTTTGATTATATATTTTGTGGTTTTATATTTCGATTTTGTTCTGTGAACCGCCCTGAGACCACCGGCTATAGGGCAGTATATCAATAATAATAATAATAATAATAATAATAATTTATTATTTATACCCCGCCCATCTGGCTGGGCTTCCCCAGCCACTCTGGGCAGCTTCTAGAAAAATATTAAAATACTGTAATACATCAAACATTAAAAGCTTCCCTAAACAGGGCTGCCTTCAGATGTCTTCTAAAAGTCTGGTAGTTGTTGTTCTCTTTGACATCTAACGGGAGGGCATTCCACAGGGCGGATGCCACTACCGAGAAGGCCCTCTGCCTGGTTCCCTGCAACTTGGCTTCTCGCAGTGAGGGAACCGCCAGAAGGCCCTCGGAGCTGGACCTCAGTGTCCGGGCAGAACGATGGGGGTGGAGATGCTCCTTCAGGTATGCTGGACTGAGGCCGTTTAGGGCTTTAAAGGTCAGCACCAACACTTTGAATTGTGCTCGTATTGGGAGCCAGTGTAGGTCTTTCAACACCGGTGTTATGTGGTCTCGGTGGCCGCTCCCAGTCACCAGTCTGGCTGCCGCATTCTGGATTAGTTGTAGTTTCCAGGTCACCTTCAAAGGTAGCCCCACGTAGAGCGCATTGCAGTAGTCCAAGCGGGAGATAACCAGAGCATGCACCACTCTGGCAAGACAGTCTGTGGGCAGGTAGGGTCTCATCCTGCATACCAGGTGGAGCTGGTAAACAGCCGCCCTGGACACAGATAATAATAATATTGTGAGAGGGAGAAAAATATTTGCCCACTTTTCCCATGCCATGTGCTACCTACCAAGCATTGTGCCCCAGGCTAGGCAACCCCCCCCCCACTCTCTGATCTAGTAGATCCGTCAATACATGGATATAATTGGAGCACGCAAACCCATTTGCGCAATACAAGAGCCTCACTCTGCGCATTTGGTTTGAAGCTGTGCTTCAGGTGCATTTTTATTTACAATACAACATTTGGTGGTTCCCACCCCGTTTCCCCCCAAACGAGACATTCAAGGCGTTGCAGCTGCCCAGGTTAAGGGAGTCCAGAGCTAAGGCAGGACTGATATCCTTGCAGATCTAGAACGAGGCGCCTTGTTTTTGCCGGAAAACCCAGGAGAATAGTCCAGGAGACACACGATGTCCTCTGCCGGGGGAGGAAGGCAGCCAATCGCAAGGGGCTGGGGAGTCGGATGTGGCTCCAGACCTGTCAATATTGGGCAGGCAAGGACTTTGTCCCAGTTGGGAAGTGTGTGTGTGTGTGTGTGTGTGTGTGTGAAGACACCACAATAATCTAGGCTGACTTTTGTCTGCGGCAAAGACACACAACATGTGGACAGGGTCATCTGAAGGCGGAAACTTCAATCGCTCCTGCTCTGTAGATGTCTCCCTCCCCTCTTTCAAAACCCCCGGAAACTAAATCAGGTTTTTAATCCGTGGCTTCACTTGAGCCTCGCAAAAGACAGCTGTCATTTCAGGAGAGGCAGACACCAGGGCTACACAGACACACACCCCTTTAAGGAGTGAGAGAGAGGCTGGAAACCACCTCTTGCGATTTCCCGCCTTTCAATGAATCGCCTCTGGCCGCTGCAAAAGTCTTGGGTGCCAAGATGTCCGTCGTGAAGGCCGGCCGTTAACTCTGGGGCTGGAAGAAGAAAAGTCGGCTTTGTCTCTCTCTCGTGCACAAGGGACTAGTCTTGTTTCCTTCTGGGTTGCTTCAGGCGGCAAGTTTTTAAACAGGAATGGAGCGGGCGGGATGTTTTGGGGGCGGGGAGGGGAGCAGAGACCGGGGGATGGGGGGGCGGAGAGAGAAAATATTCCAGGTTTGCCAAGCAGAACAAGGTTTCGGGAGCAAGTCGCTGGAGAGAGGTTTTCCAGAGCCCACCTCTTTTAAAAGCTGAGGATGAAGGTAGTCTTTTTGCTCCCCTGGAATATTCAAAGTCAGTTTTGCGGCTGACCCAAGAGACATAATCCTGTTCCAAACTGGAAACCAGTCCCCTGACGGCGGGAGAACAAGATGATTTCAGAACCTAAACAACCCCCACAACCTCTATTGATGGGGCTCCCCAACATTTATTCCTGCGTCAAGAATTGCAACGCCCTCCTTAGGCGCCTGAACAATGCCCAGTTCATTCCCCCGCCCCGCCTGTTCCAAGACACCCAACGTTCATTCCCTCTACTTCAGCAGCTTCTGATCTCTCGCAATGATGGCCCCCCGAAATAAGGGAATCGGAGAACTTGGGGTGTGAAGTGGAGCAAAGTTCTGAGAGCGTCTTCCCTGGCACTGCCAGCAGGGGGAGCTGCCGCCTCCTTCAGAACAAGGCCCCGCCCCCAGGGGGCAGAGCCGACGCCATGTGAGAGATTCCGCGTGCCTGTCCATCCTTCATTTGAGCTTCCCGTAAGCAGGAGGCGCTCAGAGCACGCTGACCCTCTCGGTCAAGCCCTTCATGTCCACCTCCCGCTGCTGTTCGTCCTCCTCCTCCTCCTCGTGCAGCCGCCGGACCCGCAAGTGGTCAGGATACGGCACGCTGTGCTCGGCTGCAAACTGTTCCCACCGGGCGTCGTCGCTCTCGTGGGTGATGTAGCGCTCGCCCATCCTGCTCTCCAGCTCCCGCAGGTCCAGCCAAGTTTGATAATCCTGGGAGGGGAAGGAAGAGGAGGAGAAGCTCAAATGTAAATCTGTGAAATGAAGGGGATGCTTGTCGGTTGCTCTCTATGCCTGTGGATACTGCGATAGCTTCTTTAAAAGAGCATAACACTTGGTCTCTTGTACCACAAACCCCAGATATGAGACTTATTGATTCAAAATGGGTTTATAGAGTTAAAATGAATGACAAAAATGAAGTTGTAAGGTACAAGGCAAGATTAGTTGCGAGGGGTTTTCAACAAATTCCAGGCGAAGATTAGGATTTGTGTTATTCACCAAGTGTAAAATATGAAACAGTTAAGCTTTTGTTAAAAGATGCATCACAGCATGGACATTCTGTTATTCCCAGAGCGGACTTGCTATCCTGTGTTCAGAGACCAATACGCAGCGCACTAGAGTCTTAAGGTTACGTTTACAGTTTGTAAAGAAACTAATTGCTGACGAAATGATTGTATTTCAATATGTTCCAGGTGACAATCAAATTGCGGGCATTTTTACAAAAGCACTTCCAAAGGTTACACATGAAAGACATGTACAAAATATGCTTGATGTTTTTGTTCCACAATGATGAACCACAGGGGAAATGTTGAATGGTTTCTTTAAATGTAAAGGTTCATCATTGTTCCACCTGATCTGTATGTCTTTAAGGGGCCAGAGCAAAATAACAAGACCCAGCTTTACAGCTGTGAAACATAGCAGATGCTGCAGTCGTATTGATTAAGCTATGTCAGCAATTGGGTGTAGTTACCCTGGGGGATGGGTTGGTGGTTGGGTCATGTTTGTTTGTTGATGTATTTAGTGTAAAAGGAGTTTTTGTTTTTGTAATTAAAACCTTGTTTAAGTTATTTTTGAGTCCCTTTTTAATGCATGGTCTCCCCAGCAAGCTCTCTGCAGCGCTACTAAACTGCAAATAGCCAACATCCAGATGTTGCTGAACTGTGACTCACGACACCCTTGACTGTTGGCCACGCTTGCTGGGTGCTGGAAGTTGTAGTTCAGCAACGCCCGGAGGGCCAAAAACTCCTGCCGCCCCTGCTCTGTGCACTGCCATGGGTTACACCGAAGGATGGGGAGATATTTAGAGACAAATTGCTCAATCCGTGCTTCCTGAAACGAGACGGGAACTACAATATTGCAACCACCTGTTGAAATTTGCACCGCTCTGAATTTTGCAATGCAGCAATCCAACCGAGTCAGGGTTACAATAATAGAACCTTGGTTTTCGAATGTGATCCGTTCCGGAAGTCCGTTTGACTTCTGAAACGTTTGAAAAAAGGGAGGATCAAAGGGAGGGCAGCAAATCTAATTGGGGGAAAAAGAGAAATGTGTTGGGAATCTGCATACGTGCAGCTACACACACAGAGTCAAGTAGGGTTTGGCCGACAGCCAAGGCAATGTGAAGGAGTAAGTCTGCCTGGTGATGCAGAGGCATGGAGACAGCTCCATGATAGGTCAAGCTCTCTCACGGGAATAATGATTAATGGCCTTCTAACTGTGTTAATACGAGTCAGCGTAGGAGTTGAGAGTTGTGAGTCGTGTGAGAGCTAGTCAAAGATCCGTGTTCTGTTCTGTTCCTGCAAATAGTCCACTGTATATAATAAACACCGAACTACAAGTTCCTGGTTCCTGCTTCGTCCATCCTGTCTGCAGCCAAGTTGCCAATTGCTTTCGTGAACTTTGCGTTTACTCTGCTGGGTCTGGCTAAGGTCCTGCAAAAAGTTGTGAAACACCAATAGGTTTTGCCAATAAAATGCGCCTCGGAAGCTGTTTGGGTTCCGAAGAACGTTTAAAAACCAAAGCAGTTACTTCCAGGTTGTCGGCGTTCGGCTTCCGAAACATTCAGCAGCCAAGATGTTCGACAACCGAGGTTTGACTGTGTAACACAGGCTTCCTCAACCTTGGCCCTCCAGATGTTTCTGGCCTACAACTCCCATGATCCCTAGCTAGCAGGAGGAGTGGTCAGCAATGATGGGAACTGTAGTCTCAAAACATCTGGAGGGCCGAGGCTGAGGAAGCCTGGTATAACAGGTGCGCTGAAAAAATGCAACGGACAGAATTGCTTCCTGTTAGTGCAAAATTGCTTTGGGAAAACATATTAGGAGAAATTCACATTAAGAACGCAAGAAGGACGAAGAACGTAAGGAGAGGCTGCTGGATCAGGACTATGAACCATCTAAGTTCAGCATCCTGTTTTCACAGCGGCCAATCAAATTCCCCAAAGGGAAACCCGCAATTGGGACCACAAGGAACCAGAGCAATGGCAGCAGCAGGAATGTCAGACCAGGTGGCCCTGAAATCAAATACTGCAGCTACCATGGTGCCCTGCAGATGTCTAGGACTACAAAGCCCATCATCCCTAGCCAGCAGGGTCCACGGTGAGTTTGGACCCAGCCGCCATCTCTGCATACCTGTAGCCAAGAGTGGCTGAGCGATTTATCGACGCTGTAACGTTTCCTCATCTTCACCTGGAGGAGGTTGTTGATCAGATCAATGGCTGGGCAGGAGGAAAGGGAGAAAGGAAATGCTATCAGAACCTGAGAAGACCCTTCAGGGAATCCCAAGTACAGTGGAACCTCAGGTTGCGGACGTAATCCGTGACGGAGGCACGTCCGCAACCTGCAGCGTTCACATCCTGAAGCGCCGTGTCTGCGCTGGCATGATTTGGCGCTTCTGAATGGGGTAACTGTGCCCCTGAAGGACCAGGTGCGCAGCCTGGGAGTCATTTTGGACTCACAGCTGTCCATGGAGGCACAGGTCAATTCTGTGTCGAGGGCGTCTGTCTCCCAGCTCCATCTGGTGCGCAGGCTGAGACCCTACCTGCCCATAGACTGTCTCACCAGAGTGGTGCATGCTCTGGTTATCTCCCGCTTGGACTACTGCAATGCGCTCTACGTGGGGCTACCTTTGAAGGTGACCCGGAAACTGCAATTAATCCAGAATGTGGCAGCTAGACCGGTGACTGGGAGCAGCCGCCGAGACCACATAACACCGGTCTTGAAAGACTACACTGGCTCCCAGTACGTTTCCGAGCACAATTCAAAGTGTTGGTGCTGACCTTTAAAACCCCAAACACCCTCAGCCCAGTATACCTGAAGGAGCGTCTCCACCCCCATCATTCTACCCGGACACTGAGGTCCAGCTCCGAGCGCCTTCTGGCGGTTCCCTCACTGCAAGAAGCCAAGTTACAAGGAACCAGGCAGAGGGCCTTCTCGGTAGTGGCACCCGCCCTGTGGAACGCCCTCCCACCAGACGTCAAAGAGAACAACACCTACCAGACTTTTAGAAGACATCTGAAGGCAGCCCTGTTTAGGGAAGCTTTTAATGTTTGATGTAGTACAGTATTTTAATTTTTTTGGGAAGCCACCCAGAGTGGCTGTGGAAGCCCAGCAAGATGGGCGGGGTATAAATAATAAATTATTATTATTATTATTATTATTATTATTATTATTATTATTCTGCGCATGCGCAAGCGGCGAAACCCGGAAGTAACCCCTTCCAGTACTTCCGGGTTTCCCGCGGTCCGCAACCCGAAAACACGTAACCTGAAGCGTCCGTAACATGAGGTATGGCTGTAGCAGAAAGCCAGCCAATTTCCGAGGGCAGACTCTCCCCATCCCACCAAGCTCCTTTGGATAGTTACCGCCAACTGAGATCTGGCGCCAGGGGTTCGCCGGGTACATAAAGGCGGCGTTCTGGATCTGGTCGTTAATGTCCTCGTCTTCGTTGAACGGGAAGGTGCCGCTGAGGCTGACGTACATGATGACTCCCACCGACCACATGTCCAGAGAGCGGTTGTAGCCCTGGTTCAGCAGGACCTCAGGCGCCAGGTAGGCCGGGGTGCCCACGACCGAGCGGCGGAAGGACTTCTCGCCAATGATGCGGGCAAAGCCAAAGTCGCACAGCTTCACCTACGGGATTGTAAAGCAAGGAACCTTACGATCCACAGGCCGCCATGCGACGCAGCAAAATACATTCCGATGTACAGTGGTACCTCAGGTTAAGTACTTAATTCGTTCCGGAGGTCCGTACTTAACCTGAAATTGTTCTTGACCTGAAGCACCACTTTAGCTAATGGGGCCTCCCGCTGCCGCCGTGCCGCTGGAGCCCGATTTCTGTTCCTATCCTGAAGCAAAGTTATTAAACCGAGGTACTATTTCTGGGTTAGCGGAGTCTGTAACCTGAGGTACCACTGTATATTTTTATGCTGTGAACCGCCCTGCGATCTTTGGATGAAGGACGGTATGCAAATTTAATCAACATCATCAACAACAACAACAACAACAACGGGATAATGGCAGGGCCTTCTCGGTGGCTGCTCCCAGACTTTGGAACTCCCTCCATAGAGGAGTTAGACTGGCTCCCTCCTTGTTGTCCTTTTGTCAGCAGGTGAAGACTTTCTTATCACAACGGGCTTTTGGGAACTGACGGCTTTTAATGAATAGGCTGGTGTTGTGCGGTTTCTATTGTAATTATCTGCATGTTTTTAATAGCTCTTTTATATTTATATGTAGTGGTTTTTTGTGTGGCTCACATTCTTTTTATATATATATACAATTTTTTTGTTTTACAATTTAAAATACTGATTTTACATCCTTAAGATATAAATGACTTCCCTTCTTCTCTTTCCACGGTTCATTTTACATATCATAAATCCTTGCAGATTTTACAGAAACGATACCATTCAGTATTCCATTATTGCATCCACCAAAACTTGTTTACACTGTCGAATTTATCTTAATGCTCCCAGCGTTTTCAGCTATACACAATTATTTCCCATATACTCAATAAATGTTTTCCAGTCTTCTTTAAACGTATGTTCTTTTTGTTCTCTTATTCTATATATTAAGTCTGCGAGTTGTGCATATTCTGTCAACTTAAGCTGACATTCCTCTTTAGTGGGGACCTCACTCATTTTCTATTTTTGGGCTAACAAAACATGGGCCGCAGTAGTAGCATACATAAATAACCTTTTTTTGACACCTAGGAATTTCAGTCTGAATTATCCCCAACAGAACGGACTCTGGCTTTGGGGGAGGGGGGAGAAGTACATTTTTTCCAATCCATTATGGATCATTTCCCAATACTCTTTTAGCCTTTTACAAGTCCACCACATATGAAAGTACGTTCCCTCCATAGCGATCCATGCGACGGTCACCTCCAGGCTTGACTACTGTAATTCGCTCTACGTGGGGCTGCCCTTGAAGCTGTCCCAGAAACTCCAGCGGGTGCAGAATGCTGCAGCGAGGCTCCTCACGGGGTCTCTGCCATGGGAGCAGATTCAGCCAGTGCTTTTCCAGCTGCACTGGCTTCCGCTGGAGTACAGGGTCAGATTTAAGGTGCTGCTTTTGACCTTTAAAGCCCTTCATGGCCTAGGACCCTCGTACCTACGGGACCGCCTCTCCCGGTATGCCCCGCGGAGAGCCTCAAGGTCCATAAATAGCAACACCCTAGAGGTCCCGGGCCCTAAGGAAGTTAGATTAGCCTCAACCAGAGCAGGGCCTTTTCAGTACTGGCTCCGGCCTGGTGGAACGCTCTGTTTCATGAGACCAGGGCCCTGCAGGATCTGATTTCTTTCCACAGGGCCTGTAAGACAGAGTTGTTCTGCCTGGCCTTTGGCTTGGAGCCAATTTGATTCCCTCCCCCTCTTTCTTTTTTCTTTTCCTTTCTCCTCCTGCAATGAGGTTTCAATATTTTAATGTTGTATTTTAATTTTGTTTTTAAGTTGTATTCATTCAATTTGTTTTTATTATTGTCTGTTAGCTGCCTTGAGCCCAGCCTTGGCTGGGGAGGGCGGGGTATAAATAAAAATTATTGTTATTATTAATATTATTATTATTCTTCTTCTTCTTCTTCTTCTTCTTCTTCTTTGCATCTCCAGCACTTATCTGATTCAATCTTATACATCTTAGCAAGCCTACTCAGAGTTAAATACCATCTGTGAATCAGTTTCATTGATTTATATGTAGTTTTAACTCTATTCATGTGCTATTTTTTTTAAAAAGGATTGTTGGTGTCTTTTCTATGTTTTTAGCTGTTCCTATTTTATCTGTGTTGGGACGCGGGTAGTGCTGTGGTCTAAACCACAGAGCCAAGGGCTTGCCGATTGGAAGGTCGGCAGTTCGAATCCCCGTGACGGGGTGAGCTCCCGTTGCTCGGTCCCTGCTCCTGCCAACCTAGCAGTTCGAAAGAATGTCAAAGTGCAAGTAGATAAATAGGTACCGCTCTGGCGGGTATGTAAACAGCATTTCCGTGCGCTGCTCTGGTTTCACCAGAAGCGGCTTAGTCACGCTGGCCACATGACCTGGAAGCTGTCTGCAGACAAACGCCGGCTCCCTCACCCAGTAATGCGAGATGAACGCCACAACCCCAGAGTCGTTCGCGACTGGACATAATAATAATAATAATAATAATAATAATAATAATAATAATATTTTCTTTATACCCCGCCCTTCCCGATTCAAAAACCGGGCTCAGGCCAGCTAACAACAAATTTAAAACACTTTAAAACACTTAATTATAAAAGCAGCATAAAATACAGTATAAAAACATGAATAACAATAAATTCAAAAATCAAAAATTAGATAATCCCCAGGGCTAGCTGGCTGAATTGGTCCTACTTGGGCCAGCGAGGAGGCCATGGGAGAATTAACTGTCAGGGGTCCCTTTACCTTTTTATTTTATCTGTAAGCAACCTTGAGTCTCTGCCAGGAAAAAAGTCAGGGTAAAAATAACTATTACACACACAAAATAATAATAATAATAATAATAATAATAATAATAATAATGGGAGTTGCAATCCAGCAAAAAAATCTGGAGGTCCATGGGCGACCCAGCCCTGCCCTAAACGAATCTTTAAGAAAACCACCAAGGAACTGCCTGGGTCTCTCAGTTTTGAGCGGTTCCGTTCTAAAATCCCGAACGCCATTTGGGATGCATCCAGCTCTTTCTCAGATGCAAGAGGGGCGGCAGAACAGGAAGCCTTACCTGAGGGAACGGCTCAGCCGAAGCCAAGAGGACGTTCTCGGGTTTCAGGTCGCAATGCACGATGTTCTTGAAATGCAGATGCCGCAAAGCCACCAGGATCTGAGCGGAAAAGATGGAAACAGGTGTGGCAAAAGGTGGCAAGGAGCAGAAAGCCACGAAATCCTGGCCGGTCAGGATTCTACCCACGTCAGCTTCCCACAGATCGCATGACATGAATTATCACAGAGGTCCCGGGGGTCTCTTGCCCACTGCAATGTGTTACAACAGCCTTCCCGACGCTGGTGCCTGCCAGATGTTTTGGGACTACAACTCCCATCCGCTCTGACGCTGATGGGAGTTGTAGTCTGAAATTTCCGACAAAGGCCAGTTTGCCGAAATTTGCTCTCTGTTTGCTGCTGGCTGGTCACACCTTCTGCTTTCAGAGACCCAGGCGAAAGCTCCTCTTTTGCCCTTTAGGCATCACTAGCAAATATTAAGATTTCCCGAATCCCGAAATTTGTTGGGGAAGCGCAACCTCAGGCAAGTCTCTGCTGCCACCTGGTGGGCGCTGGTTGACTTGCACCTTCTCTGGCTTTGGAAGGTGTATGTTTAATAATAATAATAATAATAAAATTTTATTTATACCCAGCCCTTCCTGGTTCAGAAAACAGGGCTCAGGGCGGCTAACAGCCAATTTAAAACACTTAATTGGTGCAACAAAAAACAGCTTAAAATACAGTATAAAATGTGAATATTTAGAATTCAAAAATCAATTTGGGGGAGAAATCCATCCAATAACCATTAGATGATCACCAGGGCTAGCTGGCATGTTCCTTACCTGCGTGATGAGGAACTTGGTGAGTCTCTCGGGCAGCCGGCCCTTTTCCGAAGACAGGATCATTTCCAGCATGTCTCCGTGGAGCTTCTCCATCACCACAAAGACTTTCTCCGGCGTCTCGAACATGCACTCCAGGTTCACGATCCCGGCGTGCCTCAGGCTCTGCGGGGTGGGGGAGAAGAAGAGAGACAAGGTGAGGTGTCAGGATGAGGCTCAGAGGGACTTAAGGGACCCCTTTTCCCACCAGCCCTCCCGCGACAAGACCCACAAAATGGCCGCCGCCACTCGCTCACCTGCAAAATGGCGACCTCGTTGCGCAGTTGGCTCTCCTGCTTGGTGGGGAAGCGGAGCTTGTCAATCACTTTCACCGCTACGTCCCGGCCTGTCTTCCGGTGTTTGCCTGGGGGCGTCAAGAAGGGAAGCCAACATTTTAGGAAGGGGCCGTTGCTGGCTGACAGAAGGCAGAAGGTACCGGCCCAACCATTGGGTTTAAGTCAGCAGCAGCCGCCCCACAAAAGAAATGATGGCTAAAATTCCCATCATCCCTATGGGCTATGACGGTGGGAGTCCGAGCCCAATAACACCTGGCTGTCTCTGTGTGACGGACAGCTGAGCTAGACCAGAGTCTGGTGATACAAGGAGTCCCTCGAAATTCCTTTTTCTATATAAATTTTATTTTTCAGAAATATTTTGATATAAATACAGTCCAGCACAGTAGTACCTGGGGTTACATACGCTTCAGGTTACAGACTCCGCTAACCCAGAAATAGTACCTCGGGTTAAGAACTTTGCTACAGGATGAGAACAGAAATCACGCGGCGGCAGCGGGAGGCCCCATTAGCTAAAGTGGTGCTTCAGGTTAAGAACAGTTTCAGGTTAAGAACGGACCTCCGGAACGAAGTAAGTACTTAACCCGAGGTACCACTGTATTTTCCAACAAATATATGTATTTTAACTTCTCCCCCTCCTTTTGCAGTTTCTTACATTTTTTAATTTACAATAATGCATCTCCTTCGTTACTCCAATTAATAATTACTCCCTAGTTATCTTTTAACATTAATTTTAACCATTTTTAATCCTGCTAAAGAACTTTTATGTATACAACGACATTTCAGATAATCCATGACTTTTCTCTCATCTTTTATAAAAGTTCCACCCACCCCACCCTCGGTTCCTTATTGCTCCTGTAAGTTCTGCCATTTCGGCATCCATTAATTTAGTCTGGCATTCCTCCTTGGCGAGTACAGAATCTTATTTCCATTTTAATAAGCACAAATAATCCTGGCTGCTGTCGTGGCAGTACTCTGAAATTCCACCAGAGGGCTGTAGCCTCTCTCTGATTGGCTACCAAGACAGTGAGTCAGAAGGGGGTGGAGCCAGCACTTTGGGAGGGAAAATAAAAGGAGCCGTTTCTGGGGGAGTTTTCAGAGGGTTTAAGAGAGAGCGGGAAGGAGAGGAGAGTTTGGTTCAGGTCTGTGTGTGGAACATCCACTCTGAGGAAAATATTTCTGAGTTTACATAGGAGGACAGTGTTTGGTGTCTTGCGAGGGCATTTAGACAGGAGTGAACTGGAGGGCTGAGTTTGAACAAGGAGAAGTAGAAGCTGTGAGGACAAAGTCTCCTTGGGTCTCCTTCCAGTTAGGACGGATCTTGGCTTGAATATTTTATCGAACATTTTTCAGTTATGAAGAAATAAAGTGATACAAAGAAGAAAAGAAAAAGGCACCAAAATTGCAGAGGAAAATAAAACAATATATATGAAAAAAAAGATGCGGTGATCCGATTGGTAGAAGACTGGGAACTTGACAGAAAGTACCACCTTGTTTAAGATCCAAAGTAATAAGCTGTAACACCTATGAGTTAAGGAACCGAAGTGAAATAACTCGAAATAAACTGAGCATTTACCATCTAGAAACCTGCAACATGTGACTGAAGAGTAACAACTGAAAATAAGCAATCAAAGCTTAAAAGAAGCTGTGTGTTTACTATAGAAGCCAGTAGATTTAGTATAATTATAAATTAGTTAACTGTTTCCTAAAAGAACTTGATTTTGCCAACTTTGCTCCATCAAATAAACCTTTTTTTTTTATTGGTTCACCTTCTGCCTGAGTCTCCAAGCATCAAAGTTTTACCTCACGCAAAAAAGTGAGATAACCTGCAGTGGTTATAGAGTTTCGGATCCGCCACAATTGGTGGCCAGAGCGGTGGGATTCGCGCCAATCTGCTTAAGAGGCCAGACTAGATTAGCAACCAGCGCCCTCTAGAGGTGGAGAGGTGTTATGGCATCACTGCTCCAGGTAGACTCATATCAGGGAAAGAGTGTCTAGCCAAGTTCTTAACTCACCTCCATAGACGACGCCAAATTGCCCAGAGCCCAAAACTTCATCCGGGAAGATCTGGTAGACGGTGGCGATATCCTGCAGTTGTACAAATGGATTGTGTTTTGTTTTAAAAAAGCAACTTTTGTGGGCGAAGGACCCCCCCAAACCAAAGTTAGGGGTGAAGAGCAGGCAAGGAGAAGGAGCAGGCAAGGAGACCTGGAGACCCAGTGCTCCCAGAACTCACCACGTTCTCCTGGATCTGGCTGTTGGACACAGAAATTCGTAATGACGCTTGCCCTGGAAAGAGGAAGGCAGAAGGTAGAAGTCAGGGCTGAGCCCATCTCCCGATGTATCACATGCCAATGCTGTACAGGGGACAATGCCCACCTGGGTAAGGTAAAAGGATAATGGACCCCTGGACGGTTAAGTCCAGTCAAAGGCGACTATGGGGTGCAGCGCTCATCTTGCTTTCAGGCCGAGGGACAGACAGCTTTCTGGGTCACGTGGCCAGCATGACTAAACCACTTCTGGCACAACAGGACACCATGACAGAAGCCAGAGCACTGTTTACTTTCCCGCTGCAGTGGTACCTATTTATCTACTTGCACTGGTGTGCTTTCGAACTGCTGGGTTGGCAGGAGCTGGGACAGAGCAACAGGAGCTCACCCTGTTGCTGGGATTCGAACCGCCAACCTTCTGATCGGCAAGCCCAAGAGGCTTAGCGGTTTAGACCACAGCGCCACCCGCGTCCCTACAAGGCCCACCTAGGCCAGTACTGTCTGGGGCTCTCCAGATATCATGGACTGGGGCCAGAGAGTGAGGCTTGGAAGGGCGCAATTGGGCATCTGGGGGGTTAAAGGTCCCCACTTCTGCGTGTGAGGGGGGAGGCATGGGTTGGACACTGTCAGAAGCGAGTAAATCACATGGAGTAGGTGAAGTTACTGTATTTTTCGCTCTATAAGACACACTTTTCCCCCTCCAAAAATTAAGGGGAAATGTGTGTGCGTCTTATGGAGCGAGTGCAGGCTCCATGGCTTTGCGTTGCTTTCGCTGAAGCCAGGAGAGCAAGAGGGATCAGTGCGCACCAATCCCTCTTGCTCTCCTGGCTTTGCTTTGCTGGAGAGGCGCTGCGCAGCTTCCCCTCTCTGCGCAGCGCCCCTTCAGCGAAGCGGGAGGAGAAATGGAAGGGGCTCCGCTTCTCCTGCCGCTTTGCTGAAGGGGCGCTGCGCAGAGAGGGAGAGAATTTTTTTTCTTGTTCTCCCCCTCTAAAACTAGGTGCATCTTATGTTTGGGTGTGTCCTATAGAGTGAAAAATACGGTAATTCACCGTAGTGAAGTTCTTCCTTCCCTGATAGCTTCCCAAACAATCTGAGGCACCACCATCTTGACTGTCTTTGATCTGCCTCTTCATACCTCTTTGGGTTCTGGGAGACCAGCAGGGAGGGGAGACCCCCTGGCCCCTTCACCAGCCTATCTCTGCCTTTCGGCCTCCCTCCTCTCCAGCTTCTGCTTCCGATTCTGAACTGCTCTCTGCCACCGACTCTTCCTGCTCACTAAATCCTGTGACCTCTCCAGCTTCTGACACCTCCTCCTCCCGGTCTTCTCCCTCTGACTACTCATTGTCATCCCACCACCACTCCCTGGGCACTGAGCCTTCTTCCCTCGGGGGTTCCCCAGCTGGCACCTCCCAGCATCCCTCTGCATCCAACCAGTCCAGGACAGACACTCACTGTGGGGCGCCTCTCCTTGGGCGCTCGGAGCCCCTTGGAGGACGACCGGCATGAGGGCCTGCCGGATGGCGTTCTCCCACGTCCTGGCGTTCTCCAGGCTGTCCCCGGCATGCTGGTGGTTGCTGGGGGCGCCGCTTTCCCCCACGTAGTAGGTGGCTTTGGCCGTGATGATTTCAAAGCAGTGAGGGTTGGCGCCCGAAGGCAGCAGGGAGAAGTCCTGGGCCGGACCCACGGCCAAGATCTCCGAGAGCGGAATCTCCTACAGGAAAAGGAAATGGAAATCAGCCTTCATTGCTCAGCCCCTGATCTCATGGCAATCAGGGAAGACCAACAACTCTCCCCTCTTGGCATTCCCAGCAACTGGCGTTCAGATGGATTTCTCCATGCCAGGCATAACGTGATGAACTTCTATCATGTTGCCTCTTTCTTGCCTTTTCTCTAAAGTAAAGGTAAAGGGATCCCTGACCATTAGGTCCAGTCGTGGCCAACTCTGGGGTTGCGGCACTCATCTTGCTTTACTGGCCGAGGGAGCCTGCGTACAGCTTCCGGGTCACGTGGCCAGCATGACTAAGCCGCTTCTGGTGAACCAGAGCAGCGCACGGAAACGCCGTTTACCTTCCCGCCGGAGTGGTACCTATTTATCTACTTGACTTTGATGTGCTTTCGAACTGCTAGGTTGGCAGGAGCAGGGACTGAGCAATGGGAGCTCACCCCGTCGCGGGGATTTGAACCGCCAACCTTCTGATCGGCAAGTCCTAGGCTCTGTGGTTTAACCCACAGCGCCACCCGCATCCCTTTTCTCCAAACTAGGAAGTCCCAAATACTGCAATCTTCTTTCATGGTTTCCTCGCCCTAAGCTGATTTCATGAGAACACCACGCATCCCATCTGATGCTAAGTCAGCAGTTCTCAACCTGCGGGTCCCCAGATGCTGTTGGACTACAACTCCCATCATCCCTGAGCGCTGGCCTTGCTAGCTAGGGATGATGGGAGTTGTAGTTCAACAACATCTGGGGACCCACAGGTGGAGAAAGGCTGCGCTAAGTGATGAAGTCATTAAGCCAAGCCAGAGCAAGGGCAAAGTCTCCTGCTTTCACTTCAGCGCATCTGTTGGTCAGCGGCAGGGAATGCCATCTTGGCTGCAATCTAGGGCCAGTGGTGTCATGGTCCAGGGTCACGGAGGTGGGGGACAAAGACGCACAACTATTTCTGCTGTGGGGTCCCTGTCTCCAGCACCCCTAGAGCGTGAAAGGGGAGCTTTTGAGCCACGGTGGGTATTTAGGAGCAATGAAAGCACAAGGCGTTCAGGAGAACGGCGCATGTTCTTTTATGTGGCTCTGGGATAGCTCAGTCAGTAGAGCATGAGACTCTTAATCTGAAGGTTATGGGTTTGAGCCCCACACTGGGCAAAAAAAACCACCAAACTGCATCGCAGGGGGTTGGACTAGATGACCCTCATGGTCCCTTTCCAACTCTTCATTCTATGATTCTATGTGCAATGGAAAACACAACTCAAGCCACTCCAAAAGAAGATATTGGAGCACTCCTAATCGTCTGCCCATGTAAATGCACAGAAAATAGCAGATCTGGCTGAAAGATGCAGTTTGGGAGAGATGCATCGATCGTTGCAATGCCTCCCTAACTATAATTATAATTGCATAATTATAAGATTATCACATAATCTTAGAAGAGGCATGGCTGTGAGCAGATGTGACTATCATGCAAATTTCTGAATTTGCAACTGCACTATCGTCTCGGACCGCAAAGGAGGAGCAAAGAAGAGGTGGGGAGGCTTTGCCAACCTGGTGCCCTCCAGATGTTTGGAACTACAACTCCCAAGAGCCCCACAGCTGTGGATCAATCAAACCTTTGCCCCCCCCCCCCGAGCCTTCCTTGCAGGCAGAGTTATTTCTTCCCCCTTAGGACATTTGGCTCAGCTTCAGAAATATTTGCAAGAGGGCAGTTGCCGCCCATAAATCTCCCCCCGCTCCAGCTTCCTCATCCTCATCCACACTGAGGACCCTGAATATTAGGGGATGGCCAATTTACCTTGTAGTAGCGACTGCTGGTGTTGTTTTGGAAGAGAGTGAGGCATTTGCTGTCCAGTCGCCAGTAATGGCGTTTCCGCTGCAGAATGGGGAAGAGAGAAAAGAAGTGTTTTTACAGGTCATGGCATTCCAGGGGTTGAAGGAGGCTTTAAAAGCATCCTGAGGACCCAATGCAAGACTTTCACACTCATACTTACACACACAGAGCATTAATTCCATACACTGACATGCGCCATCCGGTTATCTGCCGCCCTACATGCAAAGAGCTGCAGGAGGGGCTCTGTTTGCAGCTCCAACAGCACCTAAGGTCTGCTGTGGAACAGCACGGAGCGGGGCCTTCTCTGAGGTGGCACCCCGGACGTAGGAGTCCCTCCCATTTGGGAGACAGTTGTCCCCCACCATGTTCTCAGATCTGTGACGTCAAGATGCAACGTTATCTTTTCCCTCACGGGCCTACGGAGGTGAATAATTGGTTTCTCTGCTGCTAGATGGCCGTTTTAAGATGCCTGCTGTTTTATGAGGCTCTTATTTTAGGTTTCATTGCATTGCATTTTAATGAAATTCTGGGTACCGCCCCCTAGAGCAACCAAGAGGGAATGTGGGTTATACAGCAGGGCTCACTTCATCAGCTCGTCCAAAAGCTCAGCTATCCCTAGTACTTCAAGACTCCCATAAAAGTGCCTGGCTTAAAACCGTCCATCAAAAACTTCACCCTTGTGGCCTATCCCCACAACACCGACTCACTATGGGCCCTACTAAAGTAAACAGTCTAATTGGTCAATGTCTAAAAGATATCGAGCATCAGAACAACCTGGACACTATAAGGAAATTCTGCCCTTGGTATGTTCATTTTCCACCTCTCCGTTTTGATTCTCTGGCTCCATATCTGTACAAACTTATTATCCCAAAATAGAGACGTGCTTTTACACTTGCAAGACTGGATGTTTTGCCATCTGCGGTACTTGAGGGTCGATTCCAAAAGACCCCGCCTGAGAGATGTCTTTGCCCCTGTGGAGACGGTAGCACCGAAACAGCGGCACACGTCCTCCTCTCTTGCACTCTCTACAAAGACCTGAGGAATGAGATCATCACCCCACTCGTACTAACCATCCCAGGGCGCTCAACCACTGCCACAATGCCCTTTCTTCTATCAGATCAAAATGAGCAGATAACAGCAAAGGTTGCTAGGTCCATAGCAGGGGCAATCAGAATAAGGGCCACTGACGGCTGATTCAGGACTTTAAATTGTGCTTTTAGATCAAACTTCCTTTTCTGCATATACTGTAATGTTTTACTGTTGCTATAGCCGTTGGCTAATGCAAATAAAGTTTTATCTTTTATCTTAGCTCAGCTCCACCAGTCACCTCCTTACCCTGAACTATGCCAACTGGTGATTATAGGAACAGCTGTTTAGAAATTGGTACCCAAGTCTCGATTTTGATCTTCCTCTTCCCTCCCTGTCTCTTTTTCCTTACGTGCCATGTCCTTTTTTGGTTGTTTTTTTTTTTTAAGATTGTAAGCCTGCAGGTAGGGATTTATCTTGGTTGACTATGTGTAAGCCACTAAGGGATCTTTTTCGGATGAAGGTGGGGGCAAGAAATAAATAAGTAACAATAATCAAGATCAGAGAAATTAGCAGGAAAGGAAGGCGCCAACTCTTCTTGCTTGCATCGCTCCATCGCTAGAAGCAGAGAGAGAGAGAGCAATCTTCTGAATAATAGAAAGGCCCCTGCCCCAAGGAGCTTACAAAACCTGGAGGAGCAAGGGTAAGCACAAGCAAGCGTATGACTGATGGTGCTATGAAATAAAATCAATCCACTGCCCTCATTTCCGCGCGGTACTCAGAGGCTGGGGTTTGTTCCAGAGGCCCAGCCTCAATGCCCACCCACCCCAGTCTCACCCCACTCTCCCCACACCTCCAACTCACCAGAGTGTCCTTGTTGCTGAAGTGAACCACCCAGCCTTCCTTCAGAGCCGTGCTGGACTTGCGGGTCGTTTGCCGCACCGACTGGACCACTCGCATCAGGGGAATGTAGCCCATGGATCTGGAAGAAGAGGCAGCAGGTGCGCTTTAAATTTGGTGGGTCTGAAAGCGCAGGGAGCGGGGAAAGGGCCACAACAGATGCAACTAAAACTGGATGCGTGCGCTCATGGGAAGCCCCTCGGGATTTTTTAAACAATTATTTATTGAACTCGTGTTCCGCCTTTCGTCTGAAGACCACAGGGCAGTTCACAAGGCAAAAATGCAAAATGAAAACACCATAAAAGAAAAATACAAGTAAAAGCAAAACAGTAACTCCTCCCTCCCACCCACAGTTAAAAGGCAATAGAACTTTTTTTTTAATTGAATTTGTATACCTCCCTTCATCCGTAAACCTCAAGGGTGTCCGCAACATAAAAATACAAGATAATAAACACACCTGAATGAAGAAAAACATTTTTGCCTGGTGCCTAAAGCTATGCCATGAAAGCAGGAGGTGAGGATTTGGAGATAATGACTGTTCCTCAAATTTTTTTATCCTGCCCTTCATACCGTGAATGTTTCCCCAACCCCAATTTGTCTTCCTTTTTTTTTTTTTAATTAACGTTCTTATGTCACGTATGTATACATTATCACATTACATTACAGGGCATATTATAATATAATTTCCAACTCTTATGTACTCTATATATGTTCTTATGTAAAACTCTCATGTACTCTATAATTTAAGTACGCATGCCACCCGTATTGGATGTCATGCCCTTCTATATCTAATACATCCATATTGCTTAAAAGGAACCAGTCCCTCATCCATGAGAAGCAAGCAGCCTCATAGTATAATTTTAAGTCGGGGAGACCAAAGCCTCCCCTTTCCTTAGTATCTATTAAGACCTTATGTTTTATTCTTGGTCTTCTCCCTGACCAAATGATCAATTTTGTCTTCCTAACAAACCTGTGAGGTAGGCTAGCCTGAGAAATGGTGACAAGCCCACAGTCACCCTATTGAGCTTCCCTTCAAGGTGGTTTGGGTGGCATGTGTGAGATTTGCCCCACCTCAGTTTATCTTCCTCCCAACCCTGTAAGGTAGTGTTAAGCCTGAGAATTGGTGACAGGTTCACGGTCACCTAGTGAGCTTGGCGGCTACAAACCCAGGTCTCTGAGTCTTATGTCAACAAAGCCCTCTGGCGTCACCGGCAGTACGAGCGTAGAGGAAAAGGGGGACTCTAGGGCCAAGCCTCAATAACCATTTTTATAATGGACATGAACAAATAAAATACTACAAAAAATGGGATTCTTGGGAACGCCAGGGGAGAAATTGCTATGCCAAATATTTTGGACTACAACTCCCATCACCCCCAGTTTGTTCTTATGGGAATTGTAGTCTTAGCACTGGTAGAGGACAGAGGTTGTGCTAGAGAACTTTTCCTTTTGAAGGAAAAAAAGGGGGGAAAGTGTAATGAAATCATGGGAGAGGTGGACGGGGAAACTGAGAAACCTTTTCGAGAGAGGATGCGAGTTATCTTTGCTTTATAGCCTTGTGAAGAAATCTAGACCATGAAAGCCATTCATTCTCAGTGCCAGATCAGCAGCAACGGAACGTTAACAAACATTGCAGCTTCTGTAAGGGGAGTGAAAGGTTGGATCCAGCCATGAAGGGAAACCCCATACAGGACCCAAGGAAAGAAAATGAAGCTGTGGTTTCAGGGCTGGCCCTTCCTCACCCCCGGGACTTGCTGTCGTCCGAGTCCTCGCCCATCCTCATCTCGTTCTCTGAATGGGAGCCTGGGATGATTCCAGAGTCGTCCGATTCATCCATGAGCGAGTTCTTGTCGGCCTCACTGAGGTCGCTGGCTTCTTCCATCTGCACATCTGGGAGGGTCATAGGAGAGGAATAAAATATATCCAAGACTTCTCCAATCATTGGGGCAAGGCCGTAGCTCAGCAGTAGAGCATCTGGCTTTGCGTGCAGAAGGTTCCAGGTTCTATTCCAGGTAGGGTTGGGAGAGACTCCAGTCTGGCACTCTAAAGAGCTGCTGCCAATCAGGGTAGACCAGGGTTGGGGAGCATCCGGCCATTGGGCCAATCTTGCTATGCCTGGGTGTTCAATTTGGCCCACAAGGCTATTCCCCCTCAAGGCACACCCACCTGTCAATCAGCCGGCATCACTGGTGATGTCAGATGATGGGCGAGAAGACACAATGGTTGTTACTATAATTAATTAATTACCATCCTGTTTTCAGTGGGGAACAGGATTGTGCAACCAAGGCAAGATTTAATCCCCACTCATCAGCTGATGAGCATGGAGGTTAAAGCCCTTTGCAAAAGCGCTCTTTGAAGCAGCTCCACGCTTCTGCTTTAAGCAAGTGAAGGAGAGGAGAAAGAAGCTTGTACAATTCAGGGTTTCCTTCTCCTCTCTTTGCCTCCTTGGCTACAAAAAACCTCTTCAAAGAGTACTTTTGCAAAGAGCTTTGAGCCAACCTAACCTTTCCGTTTCAGCTTCTGGAGGCTCAAACAGAAGCCTTACCCAGATGATCGACACACATTGAAATGGTGGGTCCTAAGCTAAGCCACACCCATCTCAAGAGTTAAAACCAGGTCCCTCCCCTCCAGCCACCTCCACGCAACGAGAACAGCGGCCGTCACTCACCTCCGCCGTTAAACAGCGTTTCCCCCAGGCAGTCATTGGGCACCCGAGTCGCGCAACGTTTGTGGCAGTTGAACTTGCAATCTGGAAGGAATTGGGGAAGGAGGCAAGGCAGGGTGGAAGATCAGCAGCAGGTTAAAAAGTTTCAAGCAAAGGATTCTGGTCTAAATGGACCAATAGCCAGACTTGGAATAAAGGACCTGCAAATGTCCTGCCTTGGTGCTGCTGGACTACAATTCCCATCATCCCTGAACATGGGGCAAAGCTGGCTGGGGATGGTGGGAGTTGTAGTCAAAGAATCATAAAAGGGACCCGAGGGTCATCTAGTCTGACCCCCTGCAATGCAGGAATATCAAGGCAGTCTCCCACCCAATTTGGAACTACACCGGACCCTGCTTAGCTTTGCAAACGTGCTGGAAGTTTTATTGCTGCAGTCCAACAAGTCCTGGAGAACCACGGCTGAAGATCCCCAACCCGAGGCAGATGGGAGGCCCAGATCCCTCCCTCGGGGTCCCGTCCCCCCCTCCTCACCTTTGCATTGGAGGCCCTGGCGGAAGAGGCCTTTGAGGAGCTTCTTGCAGTACTGGCAGACGGTGGGCCGGGTGTAGGAGTGAATGAGGAAGGTGTGGGGCACTTTGACCTTGGAGAGGAAGAGCTTGTCTAGCTCAATGGGGCGGCCGATGTAGGTGGAGGAAGTCAGCCGGCGGGGGAAGGTCTCTATCAGGCTCCGAGTCTGTGAGGAGGGAGGGGGAGAAAGGGGAGCCGGAGGGAGAAGGATCAGCTCTGAGCAAACCACCAGGGCATAGAAGAACACCATCTCTACCCTGAGGCGTTATGTTTGGGACCCACCCGATTCACTGAGTACCCTGTTCTCAGTGGGGAATAGGATTGTGCAGCCAAGGCAAGATTTAATCCCCACTCATCAGCTGATGAGTATGGAGGTTTAAGCCCTTTGCAAAAGGGCTCTTTGAAGTAGCTCCATGCTTCTGTTTTAAGCAAGTAAGCAGCAGTGGCGCGGGGTGAAGGAGAGGAGAAAGAAGCATGTATAATTCAGGGAAGGTACCCCCCAAGAGTTATCTAGTCCAACCCCCTGCAATGCCATCCTTGTGTGGGCTCGAACCACCAACCTTCTGGTTAAATAACCACTCAGACTGATCCATCGCACCACAGCCATGACTGTGCTTTGCTTTACACTGTTTTTAATGTTGTTTCAAATCGTCGTCGTAGTAGTACAGTGGTACCTTGGTTTAAGACAGCTTAGTTTCTGAACAACTTGGATAAAGAACGCTGCAAACCCGGAAGTAGGTGTTTTGGTTTGTGAACTTTGCCTTGGAAGCAGAACATGTTGAGTGTGTTGCATCTGTAAATTGAGTCCCCCACCGCTATGGGAAAGCATGCCTTGGTTTAAGAACGCTTTGGTTTAAGAATGCTTTGGTTTAAGAACGGACTTCCGGAACGGATTAAGTTCGTAAACCAAGGTAAAGGGACCCCTGACCATTAGGTCCAGTCGTGACCGACTCTGGGCTTGCGGCACTAATTTCGTTTTATTGGCGGACGGAGCTGGCGTACAGCTTCCGGGTCATGTGGGCAGCATGACTAAGCCGCTTCTGGTGAACCAGAGCAGCGCACGGAAATGCCGTTTACCTTCCCGCCGGAGTGGTACCTATTTATCTACTTGCACTTTGACGTGCTTTTGAACTGCTAGGTTGGCAGGAGCAGGGACCGAGCAACGGGAGCTCACCCTGTCGCGGGGATTCGAACCGCTGACCTTCTGATCGGCAAGTCCTAGGCTCTGTGGTTTAACCCACAGCGCCACCCGCGTCCCAAGGTACCACTGTAATAATATTTATTTATTTGTTTGTTTGTTTGTTTTGCTGCCCCTCTGATGGGTTACCCCAGTCACTCTGGGCTGCTTCCAGCAAATTAAAACACAACACGACATAAAACAACAAAACTTCCCTGTACAATTTAAAACGCACCGTCGAAAACAGTTTAAAGCAAATCATGTCTTCACCCTGGAGGCGCACTCCATTGTCTCTCGAGGCAGACATAGCTGTCAACTTACAGATTTGAAAAATAAGGGACCAGCAGCCTCGGAAATAAGGGATCGGCAGCCAAAATAAAGGATTTTCAGAGCACAGGTATGTTCGACTTCTGAGCCCCTCCGAGCCAAAGGCAGAAAGCCCAGCCAGCAGCCAAACGAAGCCTCAAGCAGTGGTTCCCACAGCGCAGCAACCCAGCAAAGGGGATGCAGCAAGGAAAACCACCGTCACCTCTCCGCTGGGAAGCGCTGAGCAAAGGCGAGTCCCCAGGCAACACGGCCGATTTGATAGGCACAAGGCATGCAAGCTCCATCCCCCAGTCGTTCTTAGACTCCTTATTGGGTGAGCAACGCAGCCAAGCAACACAGTTGGAGCCTCCCTCCTCCCTGGCCGGGAGGGAGGGAGGGAGAGGAGCTGCTTCCTTTGAAACCCAGGAAATTTAAGGGACATCATCAATAAGAGACAGCAGCGGGACACGGCGCTGTGATAAGGGACTTTCCCGCCGAATAAGGGACGGTTGACAGCTATGGAGGCAGAGGGATGCCAAGGCAAGTTCGCCCCAGAACCAGGTGGGGAGGCGGGCACGGCAGACCCACTCCCAGCCACATAGCTGTCAACTTACAGATTTGAAAATAAGGGACCAGCAGCCTTGAAAATAAGGGACCAGCAGCCAAAATAAGGGACCTGCAGTCTCACCTGTTCCAGGCACTCTAGTCTTCCTGCAGTCTGGTCAAACTCATGCTGGTAGCTCCGAGAACACTGTCCAACCAACTTTGTAACCAGAGGTTCAACTGAATAGAATCTGAATCACATGCACCACAAGGCCTATGCAGCCTCAACTTAAGATGGCTCCCGGCCTGGCTTTGCACTGCAAAGTTTGCAGCAGCACGTGCAACAAAATGGCGTCCAGCATTCAAAACCCCCCTCAGCTTGCATTAACTAGCCACACACAAGGCATGCAAGCTCCACCCCCCAGTCGTTCTTAGACTTCTTATTGGGTGAGCAACACAGCCAAGCAACACAGTTGGAGCCTCCCTCCTCCCTGGCTGGCAGGGAGGGAGGGAGACGAGCTGCTTCCTTTGAAATTTAAGGGACATCCATCAGTAAGGGACAGCAGCGGGACACGGTGCTGGAATAAGGGACTGTCCCTTCAAATAAGGGACGCTTGACAGCTATGCAGCCAGCAGGGGGCGCATGTGCACTCACCAGATCTTCGGAGCTGGAGGGCAAGGAGTCCGTGATGGAGAGGCGCAGGGACTGAGAGTTGGCCAAGGAGGTGGAAGAGAGACGGCGCTTCCGGGCTCCGCTGCAGTTGTTGGGGATGCTGAAGGCGCAGCGCTTGTGGTAGTTCAGCCCACAGCCTGGGAGGAAGATTAGGAGCGTCAAAAATGGCAGGGTCACGAGGTTGGCAGCAGAAACAGCACAGAGAGGCAGGAGAGAGCTACAATGCCCTGCGGCTGAGGTGCCGGGACTTCCGGGCAGAGGAGCTGTCCATCGCCAGCACCGTGGGGCTGCTGGAGTTCCTGGACCCGGTCGGCGTCCGGCAGGTGGACCTGAGGTTCAACAACCTTCTGAGAGCAGAGGAACACCAGGGAGTTCATGGCAGCGACTGAGCAGATGGCAAGCCAGAAAGCCGGCCCCCGCGACCACTCCTCGCTCCTTCTCTCGGCGACGCTCCACTCTCCCCTCAGGCCATCCCGAGGCGGCCCTGAGACCCTCCTGCGCGCGCACCGCCGGCCGTCCCCTTCGCCCGTTATCATCAATTATTCTTTTTATTATGTATTTGTTTACAATGACAAGGGACTCAGGTGGCTTACAGATAAAGAAAATAAGAACAGCTAGAAACATGGGAAGCAGGGACAATCATTAAAGAACAATTAAATGCTGATATAATTGAAATTTTATGTACAGTGGTACCTCGGGTTACATACGCTTCAGGTTACATACGCTTCAGGTTACAGACTCCGCTAACCCAGAAATAGTACCTCGAGTTAAGAACTTTGCTTCAGGATGAGAACAGAAATTGTGCTCCGGCAGCGCAGCAGCAGCAGGAGGCCCCATTACCTAAAGTGGTGCTTCAGGTTAAGAACAGTTTCAGGTTAAGACTGGACCTCCGGAATGAATTAAGTACTTAACCCGAGTATAGTTTTATACTCCTGCTTGGACTACTGCCATGCGCTCTATGTAGGGTCACCTTTGAAGGTGACCCGGAGACTACAACCAATCCAGAATGCGGCAGCTAGACTGGTGATTGGGAGCGGCCGCCGAGACCACATAACACCGGTCCTGAAAGGCCTACTTTGGCTCCCAGTATGTTTCTGAGCACAATTCAAAGTGTTGGTGCTGAGCTTTAAAGCCCAGCCAGTGTGGTGTAGTGGTTAAGAGTGGTAGTCTCGTAATCTGGGGAACCGGGTTCGCGTCTCCGCTCCTCCACATGCAGCTGCTGGGTGACCTTGGGCTAGTCTCACTTCTCTGAAGTCTCTCAGCCCCACTCACCTCACAGAGTGTTTGTTGTGGGGGAGGAAGGGAAAGGAGAATGTTAGCCGCTTTGAGACTCCTTAAAGGGAGTGAAAGGCGGGATATCAAATCCAAACTCTTCTTCTTCTTCTTCTAAACGGCCTCGGCCCAGTATACCTGAAGGAGCGTCTCCACCCCCATCGTTCTGCCCGGACACCGAGGTCCAGCTCCGAGGGCCTTCTGGCGGTTCCCTCCCTGCGAGAAGTGAGGTTACAGGGAAGCAGGCAGAGGGCCTTCTCGGTGGTAGCACCCGCCCTGTGGAACGCCCTCCCACCAGATGTTAAGGGGAGAAATAACTATACAAATTTTAGAAGGTCACCCTGTGTAGGGAGGTTTTTAATGTTTGAAGTCTTTTTTAAAATATATATTTATTAATTTTTACATGAAATTTAAAAAAAAAAAACATTTCACTATTACTTTTAATAGTCCTTCACTAATACAGCCATACCTTGGGATGAATATACTTCGGGCTAGGCAAATTCGGGTTGCGTTCCGTGGTGACCCAGAAGTAACGGAGTTACTTCCGGGTTTCGACGCGCGCGCATGCGCAGACTGTCAAAATGATGTCACGCGCATGCGCAGAAGCACCGAAACGCGACCCGTCTTGCGTTCCATTCGGGATGAGAACAGGGCTCCAGAACAGATCCCGTTCGCATCCTGAGGTAACACTGTAGTTCTCTGCATACTTTTCTCTGCAATATTTCACATAGTCCTCCTTACAAAACTTCTTGCAATCCTACTAGCGTAATTTGTTAATGTTTGAAGTCTTGTTGTGTTTTTATATTATGTTGGAAGCTGCCCAGAGTGGCTGGAGCAACCCCAGTCAGATGCGCGGGGTACAAACAACAACAATTTAGTTATTCTGATAACAAAGAGAAGAGGAATTGGGGGCTATGTAGCTCCCTATTCCCTACACGGACTGGCAGCGGCCCTTGGTTCCAACCCTGGCACCTCCAGGGCTGGGGCAGGCTCCTGAAAATCCCAGAGAGCTTTTGCCAGTCAGTGTAGACAAGACGGAGCCATATGGACCAGCTTTCTATGTTCGGATGTGGGGAAAGGCTCAGGGCAGGATATCTCCTTCAAAGACAGAGGTCCTTTGGTTGGGTCAGGACGATATGGGATTGGGGAGGCAACTCCCATCACTTGCGGGGGCGCAATTAGTGCCAGCACCGTCCGTTAAGAGTTTGGGTGTAATCTTCGACACCTCCCTTTCCATGGAGGCGCAGATTGCAGCTATAACAAAGGCGGCATTTTTCCATCTCCGCCAAGCTAAGCAATTGGTTCCTTACCTCTCTCGCCCTGACCTAGCCACTGTGATCCATGCGACGGTCACCTCCAGACTGGATTATTGTAACTTGCTCTACGTGGGGCTGCCCTTGAGACTGACCCAGAAACTCCCGCGGGTGCAGAATGCCGCAGCGAGACTCCTTACGGGGTCCTCACTGCGAGATCACATTCACCCGGTGCTATACCAGCTGCACTGGCTCCCGGTGGAGTACAGGATCAGGTTCAAGGTGCTGGTTTTAACCTTTAAAGCCCTATACGGCCTAGGACCCTCGTACCTACAGGACCGCCTTTCCTGGTATGTCCCACAGAGGAACTTACGGTCTTCAAACAAAAACATCCTGGAGATCCCGGGCCACAGGGAGGTTAGGCTGGCCTCAACCAGAGCCAGGGCTTTTTCGGCTGCGGCTCCAATCTGGTGGAACGCTCTGTCACAAGAGACTAGGGCCCTGCGGGACTTGACATCTTTCCGCAGGGCCTGCAAGACGGAGCTGTTCTGCCAGGCCTTTGGCCAAGGCACAGTCTGACTCCCTCCTTTGGCAATCCTCACAGAACTTCTAGCCCAATGGTTGCCGTTAATTTGATTGGAATTAATTTTATAATGAAATGATTTTAGAATGTTTTATTGTTTTACTGTTGTTAGCCGCTCTGAGCCCGGCTTCGGCTGGGGAAGGTGGGATATAAATAAAATTTATTATTATTTTTGCAGGTTTGATCCCCGGAGAGGTAGGCTTGGAAGAGAACCGCCCCCCCCCCCGGTGTGAAATCCCTGGGGAGCTGCTGCCAGCCAGAATAGGAAATACTGAAGTACGTGACTCAGTATAAAGGCAGTTCCCTGCGTTCCCAAACGCTTTGCAAACCGCATGGGAACCGAGCAGTGGAAGGGGCTGGTGGGAGGGTGAGGTTTTCCGCTTTCGATTAAGCATTAAGCAGCGTAATGGCCTAAAAGCCCAATGCGTCGTGTCCTGCCAGGGCCCCGGGGGCAGGTGCAGAGTGAGAGCATGTGGCTCAAAGGCTCACGTGGCTTTGGAGGTCAAAAGCAAGAGCCCAAGGGCAGCGGCCCCTGCGTGGGAGACTGGAACGCTCCGGGCCGCTGCTCCCAAACAGCAGGCGGAGGGGCCAAGCCGCGTCCGGACTGCGCCACTTGGGATGGCAGGAGGGGGCACACATAACAGGGGGCAAAACAAACCTAATGTTTCAAGGAGAGGGTGTCCCCCGTCCTCTTCTCCCCGATATGTTATTTTTCTACAGGTACCAAATATTTTATTTTATTTTCTTTGGGCAGCAGAGATTCTCAGCTGTCCTTTTGTTTCTTTTTTAAAAGGATGTTTCTAGACCTCATGATACCCTTGGAAATGTGCCAGGGAGAAAATTCCTGGGCGTCTGGCAGGGCACCCAAATAAGAGAAGGCTCCTGGCCTTTGTGGGGGGCGAAGTCTTGCCTCGCTTTCCACTCTAGGTAAAGGTAAAGGGCCCCTGACCATTAGGTCCAGTCGTGGCCGACTCTGGGGTTGCGGCACTCATCTCGCTTTACTGGCCGAGGGAGCCGGTGTACAGCTTCCAGGTCATGTGGCCAGCATGACTAAGCCGCTTCTGGCGAATCAGAGCACCGCGCAGAAACACTGTTCACCTTTCCGCCAGAGCAGTACCTATTTATCTACTTGCACTTTGACGTGCTTTCGAACTGCTAGGTTGGCAGTAGCAGGGACCGAGCAACGGGAGCTCACCCCGTCGCGGGGATTCAAACAGCCGACCTTCTGATCGGCAAGTCCTAGGCTCTGTGGTTTAACCCACAGCGCCACCCGCATCCCCGCTTTCCACTCTAACAGCTAGCAAAAGCAGAGTAGAATATGTGAGGTAGGAAAGCAAATATTTTAAAAGTGGCTCAGTTTCCACAATTTAATGCAGAGTTTTCTTGCAGTGAAATAATAAAGAAATAAAAAATAAAAATCGACACGTGTATTACTCTTGAGGGAGCCCATGACTCCAAATCCCATCATCCAAGGACATAGCCAGGATTTATTTGGGGGGGGGGGCAAAACCGACATGATCAGTTAGTTAAGTATTTATATTGTTTTGCTTGATCTATGGGGGGCAGCTGTCCCTCCTACCCCCCTCTTGGCAACGCCCATGCCATCACCATTGGGCATAGGCCAAACTGGCTGAGCCCGATGGGAGCTGTAGTCCAGCAACATCTGGGGAGGGCACAGATGTTCCCCACCCCCAGGGGAGAGGTCTTCAGGGACAAAATGGGCAATTGATCCAAATAAGTCTTTATGCCTTTGGAGGAAATGCCAACCCAGGTCTTGGCAGACAAAAAACCCTCCGCCTTCCCGCAAAAAAATCAAATCAAAGAGGGAGCCTTACCATCACACTTGAGACCTTGGCGTACCAATCCGAAGAGCATCTCGCCGCAGTGGTCACAGAAAGCCGGAGCACGATAGGAGTGCACGTTGAGGGCGTGTGGTCGGATCCGGAAGTCCTCAAAAGTGGCGGAAGCTAGGAGAGGAGGAGGAGGAAGGTGCTTAGAATAACACTGGAAGAGGCCTGCAGGATCAGGCCCCTGGCCCATACAGTCCGGTATCCTGGCCCCGCAGTGGCCAGATGCCCCGAAAGGAAGCACGCAGAGCAGGATCCATAGCTGTCAACTGTCCCTTATTTGGCGGGAAAGTCCCTTATCACAGCGCCGTGTCCAGCTGCCGTCCCTTATTGATGATGTCCCTTAAATTTCCCGGGTTTCAAAGGAAGCAGCTCCTCTCCCTCCCTCCCTGCCGGCCAGGGAGGAGGGAGGCTCCAGCTGCGTTGCTAGGCTGCATTGCTCACCCAATAAGGAGTCTAAGAACGACTGGGGGGAGGAGCTTGCATGCCTTGTGCCGATCAAATCGGCTGCGTTGCCTGGGGACTCGCCTTTGCTCAGCGCTTCCCAGCGGAGAGGTGACTGTGGTTTTCCTTGCTGCATCCCCTTTGCTGGGTTGCTGCGCTGTGGGAACCACCGCTTGAGGCTTTGTTTGGCTGTTGGCTGGGCTTTCTGCCTTTGGCTCGGAGGGGCTCAGAAGTCGAACATACCTGTGCCCAGAAAATCCCTTATTTTGGCTGCTAATGCCTTATTTTTGAGGCTGCTGGTCCCTTATTTTCAAATCTGTAAGTTGACAGCTATGGCAGGATCAGAGTACTAGAGTACTGCATTTAATACTATTCTTCCGCATAGATTGGTGCCCAAATTATTAGACCTGGGACTTCCACCGTGTTTGTGCAGGTGGATATTAGATTTTCTATCGAACCGTTCCCAAAGGGTCAGATTGGTTTCCCAGGTCTCTGCGGATCTCATCATGAATACGGGGACGCCGCAGGGGTGCGTGTTGAGCCCGCTTTTATATACGCTCTATACAGCTGACTGTGCCCCCAAATACCCCAGGAATAAGATAATTAAGTTTGCAGATGATACAGAGGTGGTTGGTTTAATCACTGCTGGAGAGGGGGAGGCGGCCTATAGGAAGGAAGTTGAGCAGTTGGGGGAGTGGTGCAGGAAAAACAACTTACTCCTTCACTTAAAGAAAACAAAAGAGATTATTGTGGACTTTAGGATATGTAAATTGAATATTCGGCCACTTATTATTGAGGGGAAGTGCGTGGAACAGGTCTCGGTGTTTCGATTTCTGGGAATGGAGTTGAGAGATGACCTAACCTGGGGAGAAAACAGCAAAGACCTGGTGAAGAGAGCACAGCAGAGGTTATATTTTCTCAGAATCCTCTGGAAAAACAATCTCTCAAAGGACATGTTGATGGCATTTTACCATTGTACTGTGGAGAGTGTATTAACTTATGGTCTGTGTGTGTGGTTTTGGAGCTGCACGGTCAGGGAAAAAATAATGCTGTCCAGGGTTGTAAAGACTGCGGAGAGAATAATTGGGCACACTCTTCCCACCTTGGATCAAATCTATGCTTCCAGGTGTCACAAGAAAGCTGCAGAGATAGCGCAGGATAGTGCGCACCCTGGAAATGATCTCTTTCAGCTTCTGCCTTCTGGAAGAAGGTACAGGGTTATAAAGACTAGGACTAGCCGCCTGAGAAACAGTTTCTACCCAAATGCAATTCTGGTTTTAAACACAGTATAGGTAAAGGTAAAGGGACCCCTGACCATTAGGTCCAGTCGTGACCGACTCTGGGGTTGCGGCGCTCATCTCGCTTTATTGGCTGAGGGAGCCAGCGTTTGTCCGCAGACAGCTTCCGGGTCATGTGGCCAGCATGACTAAGCCGCTTCTGGCGAACCAGAGCAGCACACAGAAACGCCGTTTACCTTCCCGCTGGAGCGGTACTTATTTATCTACTTGCACTTTGATATGCTTTCGAACTGCTAGGTTGGCAGGAGCTGGGACCGAGCGACGGGAGCTCACCCCGTCGCGGGGATTCGAACCGCCGACCTTCTGATCGGCAAGTCCTAGGCTCTGTGGATTAACCCACAGCGCCACCCGCGTCCCTAAATGCAGTATAGGGAGTCTCTATGGGAGAATATTGTATTTTAAAATGGGGTTTCAGAGTTTTTAGGAGTTTTTGAATGTCTTATGTAGATTTTTCAATTTCATTGTTCTGTATGGGTCAATGACAATAGAGATATCGTATCGTAGAGCAACTCTCCCACAACTTCCAGAAACTGATATTCAGAAGTGTTCGCTCCCTCTGACCGTGGGGGCAGAGTCAAGCCGGATGAGGAACGGTTGAAGGAGCTGGGGATGTTTAGCAGGGGAAAGAGGATACCGAGAGGAAGGCTGGCACTTTAAAATGACATTTGTAAAAAAAAAAAACCAGAAGCATTTTTGTTAGGGATTGTAGGACAAGACCTGCCAAGAAAAACCAGGAATCTATTTATGTATGCTACAACAGCGGCAAGAGTCTTGATAGCAGAAGGACGGAAGAATGAGGAAATCCTAACGAAAGAACAGTGGCAAGAAAAATTGTTGAGCTATGCAGAGTTGGGTAAATTGACATACAAATTGCAGGACAAGGACAACTGTGACTTTAAGGAAGAATGGGAGTTTTTTACAAATTATCTAAAAAGGCAACAAGAGGAACTGGACTCCCTGGCAGGTTTTGAATAAACATACACACAATTTATTGGTTGATAACATGATAGACAGATAACGTAAGGATATGTATAATTTTATAACATGCAGAGAATAATATGTGCTGAGAAATCAGAGAGAGGAGCTGAGAGAAGTCTCTGGGGGGGGTGGAAGGGGGGAAATAATGTAAGTGATTATATGGTTTGATAATTTGTAATGTTGAAATTGCTAATAAAAATATTTTTTAAAAAAAAAGAGAGAGAGAGGAGGGCTGGCACATGGATGAGGGAGCAAGCTTTTCGCTTGCTCTGGAGGGTAGGACTCGAACTCATCGCTTCAAGTTACAAGAAAGGAGATTCCGACCAAACATCAGGAAGAACTTTCTGACAGTAGGAGCTTTTTGAAAGTGAAACAGACTCCCTTAGGAGGTTGTGGACTCTGCTTCCTTGGAGGTTTTAAAGCAGAGGTTGGACGGCCATCTGCCAGGGATGAGATTCCTACATTGCAGGGGGTTGGACTAGATGACCACAGGGGTCCCTTCCAACTCTACGAATCTATGATTCATGATCCATGGTATGTAGCCACAAATTCTTGAATTTATCTGATCTTCTTCTAAAGCCATCTTAGCTGGTATCCACTACTGTCTCCTGCAGGAAGGAGTTCCGTAGTTCATATGTGAATAAGCCCCTTCTTTTATCTGCCTTGATTCTTGCCATGTTCAGAAGGTGAGAGGGGTTTTTTAAAAAAGGGAAGCAGCAATTCAATTTCAAGGATTAACGGAGCACAGTGGAGCTAGGGGATTTCTTTTTTTCTTTTTCTTTTTTGAATATTTTTTAATAGAAATTTCGACATAACTACCGTATTTTTCGCTCTATAACACGCACCCGACCATAACACGCATGTAGTTTTTAGAGGAGGAAAATCCATAGGCATGCCACCCGTAGGCATTCCCTCCATAACACGCACAGACATTTCCCCTTACTTTTTAAGAGGAAAAAAGTGAGTGTTATGGTGCAAAAAATACGGTATTTATCAAAAACACATCATCCTCATTCCCCCCCATTTTTCCCCTACCCCCTCCCCCAAAAATAAAACCTGCCCTCCCAACCCCACCCCCCAAACTTCCCTCAGCTCTGGTTTTTCAGCACATGTTATTCTCTGCATATTCTAAAATTGTAAAGACACTTAATTTATCTATCTAAATATTACCAGTAAAAAGTTTGTGTATGTTTATTCAAAACCTGCCAAGAAGTCCAGTTCATTTGTTGTTTCTTTAAGTACTTTGTAAAGTGGAGCTAGGGAATTTCAAAGCAGGGAGGGGGGAAATAAAGCCCTCCCATTATCACTGCCGGACCCCCAGAACATTCTCCAGACCACCCCTCCCTGGCCCTTCGCAAGGGCTTTGGAATGAGGCAAAGGGAGGAGGCACATCAATTGCTCCGCCCACTTTTGTCCCAGGCCCCACCCACCTGACATATGGCCCCCGGGAGCTTGCCCAGGAGGGGATCTGGCCCTTGGGGTGGAAAAAGCTTTTGCACGCAAGGCAGATGCTGTAACGCTGAGCTAATGACTCTTCGCCTTAGAGTTATCAGTCTTCTGATAATCTGCCACAGAACGAGAAGATAAAAGTCTACAAAAGTGCCAAGGTTTTGTTCTCAGCTGAATGCGGTTTGTTTAGGTCAGCAGCCTGGTGCCCTCTAGATTTTTTTGGACTACAACTCCCATCATCCCTGACCATCGGTTGCAGCAGCTATGGCTGATGGGAATTGTAGTCCAACACATCTGGCAAAGGCTTCTTTAGGACTTACCATTGCATGAAAACAGGCACAGGGGGTGATTTAAGCACCCTTGAGGAAGTGGAGATTCTAGACTGAGAGGCTGGAATAGTGCAGGTTATCTGACGGCATTGCGTTAAATCATCTGTCCTGGGAGACCCGGATTCAAATCGTGCCTCCAGGAACGATGCTAGCTGGGTGCCACTGACTGAACTCCACTCCCAGTCTAACCTGGTATCTCACGAGGCTGTTGCAAATCATTTTATCAAGGGCTGCCAGGCCGGACATTTAAAAGCGGACAGGGAAACAAGGCACTCTACACTCTCTCAGAGACACTCTTGTCTCAGGATAGCCTGTCCCTGTTTAGGAGCCCATCCCACATGCCCCAGCTGAAATAGTTTAGAAACGAGTAGCCTCTGGGAGACCTTGTCCTAGTCGCCATGTTTCAAGCCTGGCCTACCTTGCAAGTTTGTTGTGTAGAGGAAATGAGGGAGCAGCTGGAGGCTAACCCACCCTGGGCATAGCTGTCAAGCGTCCCTCATTTGGAGGGACAGTCCTTTATCCCAGCGCTGTCCCTTATTGATGGATGTCCCTTAAACTTCCCGGGTTTCAAAGGAAGCAGCTCCTCTCCCTCCCTCCCTGCCGGCCAGGGAGGAGCGAGTCTCCAACTGTGTTGCTTGGCTGCCCGGCCCGCCCCCCTCCGGCCTCCTCTCACCAGCCTCGGCCCCCGGGAACCCCTCCCCGCCGGGACTGGCGGGAGCCTCGGGCCCTTCCACCACCATCCTCCTCGTGGCCGCCTGAGCGTCTCTGCCTGGGGCCTCCCCTCTGCCCGTCACCGCCGTGCCCGCTCCCGCTAGGCCGTACTGCGGCTGTGCCGCTGAAGGACCCAGATGAGATGGGCAGCCTATGAATTGGTGAGGAGCCTTGAGAGGAGAGCGAAGGCAACCATAGAGAAAGCAGTTCAGAGAGAGGAGGAAGAGGAGGCGGCGGAGGCGCGGGCAGGTGTTCCAAGGGCTAAGCATAGAGGGGGAAAGCGGAGGAAGGACCGCAAGCGCTTCTTCCACAGATCTGTAGTGGTAGACTAGCATAGATGGTCTGATCTGCGGGTTTACTTCGGGCGCTATTCCCCCCCCCTTCCTCCCGCCCCGCCTGATGGAACTGAGCGCTGCAGATGGAGCACGAGAGAAAAGATACAGAACTGCAGCAGCACCTTCGTAGCTTCGACTTCGTTTTGCGCGAAAAGTGGCTGCTGCTTGTAGTTATTTAATTGCAGTGTTTCATCGGCTGGTGTCTTGAGCAGCAACCTCTGGAAACGAAGGGCTAAAAACCGGCGCTGCTCTCCAAAATTATCTGGTCCCTTTTAACTGGTTGACTAAAATCCCTTATTTTGGCTGCTGGTCCCTTATTTTCAAATCTGGAAGTTGACAGCTATGACCCTGGGCTCCTCTGATTTTGAGCCTTGTGGCCACCCTTTTCGCCCCAGGCAGAAGCAGCTGTTTCTGGGGGGCTTCCCTAGCCCCACCTAGGTAGGCAGGAAGTGCCCCGGGTCCCTCGGGTGCAAGAGGAGATCCGCCAGGAAGCACCTTCCACCGCCCTTCCCCCAAGCGGAGGAAAGGGGTTGTCTGTACCCAAAACCCACATCCTGCTCCGTTGCCTGGGCGTCGGATTCAAAAAACATCACCTGCCGCCTCCAGCGAGCGAGAGATCTAGGCCAGGAGAGAGAGATATACAGAGAGACAGAGAGGACTGTGCCAGCCTTTGCTAAGGAACCAGCGTGGCGAAACGGTTGCAGCACTGGACCAGGACTTGGCAGAGACCAGGGTTCAAAACCTGCCATGAAGCTAACTAATAATCATCATCATCATCATCAATAGCCGCAAGGCTATTGATTGCGAAAAATTGGAAAAGTGGTATTATACCGACAAAAATAGAGTGGCTTGCCAAATGATTGGAGTACTACAATATATCCAAAGCAATGGGAGAAATTGGAAGGATCTCAAAAGAGAAGATAGACAGGGACTGGAAGGTGTTTAAAGGATACTTGCAAAACCATATTGAAAAATCAGAGCTCCTATTAGAATAAGCAAGTTCCGTTTCAAATACTGAAATACTAAATAAGATGGATAACAATGTGTAATAGAAAAAGAAGCGTGAAATTAGGTTAAAGGTGTGTGAAAGAAAGTGGAAAGAAATTGCAGTTGAGTAGATTGGAAGTCTAACACAAAGGTGGGGTGAGGGGTGAGGGATGGCGGTGGGAAAAGGAATTATCTGTGGGACTGAATGTTGGTATGTTTGTATATATTTAAGGATTGTATGAAATGTATGTTTGTATGCTTGTATATTCGCAATATGTGTGTATTAATGCTGAATTATTTTAACAATAAAAACTTAATTTTTAAAAAAAGGAAAGTCCCATGAACCAATGGAAGCAATAGTGGGGGGGAAAGGACTTGGCAGAGACCAGGGTTCAAATCCTGCCATGAAGCTAAATAATAATAATAATAATTTATACCTCGCCCTCCCCAGCCAAGAAGGGCTCAGGGCGGCAAAAACCAGGTATAAAAACAATGGATTCAAATACAACTTAAAAACAAGATTAAAATACAACATGCAGCCTCATTTCAGTAGAAACTCAAATCCAAAACTTTTTGGGCATGAAAACTGGGCGGCCTTGGGGGGCAGCCGCTGCCTCTCAGCCTAGCCTACCTCCCAGGGTTGTTGAGGGGGGTGAACGAGGAGAAGTAAATGCACGTTCCCTTAGAATCGTAGAATTTTCGAGTCGGGAAGGGATACCCCCAAAGGTCATCTAGCCCAACCCACCATCGTGCGGAACCCGCAGCCGAGCCAGTTCACGATTCCGCTAAGGCAGCTCACCTGAGAGCACCACCTCCACCAGGTCGCCTTCCTGGATGTCGCTGGCGGCCCGGACCAGCTGCAGGATGTTGGCCGAGGACGGGTCGTGCTTGAAGAGCAGAATCTTGTCGTAGAGGCAGTAGAATCCGCACTCGGGGAACTGAAAAGGAAGAGACAGAGGTGGATAGGGAGAGCCAGGGAAAACAACTCTAAGAATCGAGAATGCAGCAGCTAGACTGGTGACTGGGGGCGGCCGCCGAGACCTACATTGGCTCCCAGTACGTTTCCGAGCACAATTCAAAGTGTTGGTGTTGACCTTTAAAGCCCTAATTGGCCTCAAAGGCCCAGTATACCTGAAGGAGCGTCTCCACCCCCATCGTTCTGCCCGGACGCTGAGGTCCAGCGACAAGGGCCTTCTGGCAGTTCCCTCATTGCGAGAAGCCAAATTACAGGGAACCAGGCAGAGGGCCTTCTCGGTAGTGGCGCCCTCCCTGTGGAACACCCTCCCATCAGATGTCAAAGAGATAAACAACTACCTGGCATTTAGAAGACATCTGAAGGCAGCCCTGTTTAGGGAAGTTTTTAATGTGTGACATTTTAATGTATTTTTGGTCTCTGTGGAAGCCGCCCAGAGTGGGCGGGGTACAAATAATAAGTTGTTGTTGTTGTTGTTGTTATATTCTATGGCACTCTTTGTTTTTGCACTCATTATTTATTTTGTGTTTTTATCCTCTATTTTCATCTTGTGAACTGCCCTAAGGGCGTATGTGTGTGTGTGTGTGTGTGTGTATCTATATATATCAAAAGAAGGAGAATTTTCAAAGCATGCTTTGCTGGCCTGGTGCACCTTCCAAAAGCTTTGGACTATAACTCCCATCAGCCCAAGCCTGCTGGGAGTTGTAGTCCCAAACATCTGGAGGGCGCCAGGTGAGCAAAAAGCGACTTCGAAGGTTTCAGGGAGGAGGGGTGGGAGCAGTGGTGGACCTACATTTTGGGGTTCCTGAAGCTTGGACTGATTTGGGGTCCCATTTGCACCCAACATCAAGGCCAGGGCAACCACTGCTACCTTCTCCAATGGGTTTGTTCCAGATCATCACAATTGGTTTGTTTTTTTTTAAATGCTATTACATCTCAGATTTTGATGAAAATCTCCGTACTGGATTATTGCTCCAGTCCTCTGAGAATCTCTGGTCCCACAGGTTTTGAATCCTTCCTGTTAGTTTATCCAATTCTGCATAGTCCATTAATTTCGTCTGCCATTCATCTTTCGTCGGTAATTCTTCTTGTTTCCATTTTTGTGCTGCCTTTATTGCATATAAAAACAGTTTACTATCCTGTCTGTTAATATCCTCCCCTACAACACCAAGTAAAAATGCTTCTGGGTTTTTTTTTAATAAATGCATATTTCAACATCTTTTTCATCTCATTATATATCATTTCCCAAAAGCTTTTCACTTTCTTACATTCCCACCAGATGTGATAAAAAGATCCTTCTTTTTCTTCACGTTTCCAACGTTTATAACTTGTTTTGTACATTTTATTTAATTTCAATAAGACACCCTTCCCCTTTCTATGCACTTCAATGCACTTGGGCGTTGCTCAGTTAACTCCAGCGCAGTCGGAATGCTGTTTGAACAGGGTTGCGGTGAAAGAAGCAGGTTCATTCCTGGGACACCGCAGGGAGACGGGAAAGAGAGACAAGTGACTGCAAGTTGGCGGTGGTTTCAGGTTCGAGCCCTTTGTGTACCCGGAGGTCAATCGCAGCAGCGGCAAACTTTTAAAATCCAAAGCAATACTCTGCGCTGACTCTGGCTACAAACAGGGTTGCTCCCCAGTGAGTAACAATGTGCTCTGGGCAGCCAGGCGGGGAAACTTTCAGAAACCGAAAGACAGATGGTCCTTTCTTCGGGGCGAGTCACTGATGCGTCAGGACTCGAGGCAGGTCTTAAAAATGCGGGCCGACGAGATTTCAGCTCGCCTGGGCTACACTGATTGGGCAGCGGCTCGGCTGAAGCAACGGGTCGAAAGCATGACAGTTTGGTTAGGTGGAGAAACTTTATTTTGTGCCAGTGGGCTGGATCCTCATCCGTTGCCGCCCCGCAGGCTGGTTTTGACAGGTGAGCGGGGCAACCAGTCACCCAATGTCACTATGAGGCCACGTGATTGACGGGTAGGTCGTTCCGCCCGCCAGTGAAAGTCTGCCAGCAGCACGTCCCAAGCGCCCAGCAGCCAGCTGGTTTGTCGGGCGCCTGGGAAGAGCAGCGCAAGGCGCTGGGCTGCTCCTGTGGCACCAAGCAGTTTCCATGGAGAAACTGTTGTTAAAACAGAGCTTTTCTTCCCCCAGCTCATGGAATCATATACAGTGGTACCTCGGGTTACATACGCTTCAGGTTACATACGCTTCAGGTTACAGACTCCGCTAACCCAGAAATAGTGCTTCAGGTTAAGAACTTTGCTTCAGGATGAGAACAGAAATCATGCTTCGGCGGTGCGGCGGCAGCAGGAGGCCCCATTAGCTAAAGTGGTGCTTCAGGTTAAGGACAGTTTCAGGTTAAGAACGGACCTCCGGAACAAATTAAGTACTTAACCCGAGGTACCACTGTAGTCAGAAGGGAACTCCAAGGGTCAACTAGTCCAACCCCCTAAAAAGCAGGAATCTCAGCTAAAGCATCCATGGCAGATACGATATGATAATCTTTATTGTCATTGTCCCATATAGAACAACGAAATTGAAAAAATCTGCATCGGACATTCAAAAACCGACAAGCCTGCTATCCTTGCTATCCCAGCCTGGTTGACCCCCTAAAAACTCTGATACCCCATAATTAAATACAATATACTCCCATAGAGACTACCTTACACTGCGTTTAAAACCAAAATCGCATTTGGATAGAAACTGTTTCTTAGGCGGCTAGTCCTAGTCTTTATAACCCGGCGCTGTGGGTTAAACCACAGAGCCTAGGACTTGCCGATCAGAAGGTCAGCGGTTCGAATCCCCGCCACGGGGTGAGCTCCCGTTCCTCTGTCCCTGCTCCTGCCAACCTAGCAGTTTGAAAGCACCTCAAAGTGCAAGTAGATAAATAGGTACCGCTCCGGCGGGAAGGTAAACAGCGTTTCCGTGCACTGCTCTGGTTCGCCAGAAGCGGCTTTGTCATGCTGGCCACATGACCCGGAAGCTGTACACCGGCTCCCTCGGCCAATAAAGCGAGATTAGTGCCACACTCCCAGAGTCGGTCATGACTAGACCTAATGGTCAGGGGTCCCTTTACCTTTACCTTTACCTTTAGGAAACATGGAGAAAGAAAATGCCCACCCCCCTAAATTGGCTGGTACACCCCTCCCAGTTCTCTTATATGCGGATGACGCAGTTCTAATTTCCTTCTCCAGTGCAGGCATAAGAAAACTTCTAAGATCTCTCAATGTTTATTGTACAGTGGTACCTCAGGTTACAGATGCTTCAGGTTACATACACTTCAGATTACAGACTCCGCTAACCCAGAAATAGTCCCTCAGATTAAGAACTTTGCTTCAGGATGAGAACAGAAATTGCGCAGCAGCAGCGCGGCAGCAGCAGGAGGAGGCCCCATTAGCTAAAGTGGTGCTTCAGGTTAAGAACAGACCTCCAGAACGAATTAAGTTCTTAACCCAAGGTGCCACTGTAATGCTGAACAATTAACAATTAACCCTCTCTCTTTCTGAGGTAGGGGGTGGCGCTCCTGGCACTCGCTTCAAAAATCCAAATATAGCCATATTTCCTAAAAAGATTGCTGCTCTCCTGGAGTAATTCCTTGTCAGCGGCAAGGAATATAGCACGTACGCATATATTCAGGCACCAAGAAAACGTTTCAGGTGTGGCTCATCTCAAATGGAGGAGTCCAGGCTGTCAGACAGCAGCAGACAAACACCTGTCTTGCAAAGATGGATGGCGTGTGTGTGTGTTTTTTTAAGGGAAGGCAGCCGAGAAGAGACGTTTCGCACAAGCTCAGGGAAGGAGCAACGTTCAGCCTTTCAAGCTTTCTGGTTGTAGTGAGACGCTATGCAAATGCCAGCAGTTATTTTTAACTCTCAAAGGTACCCCATCTGAAACGCTTTGTTCGTTCCAGTTGACCTCTGAACTCCTCCTTCCTTCCTCCTTAAAGCGGAGAGATCTTTATGATTTCATCGCAAGCGAGAGGAACTGGCTCCTATCCCTGCTCCCTCCCCCCTAACCATCTTTTTTAAAAAACCATGTGCATAAGAACGACCCTTATCCTGGGGAGCCTATGGAATTCACTGCCACAAGATTTTCACTTCGGGTCCTCTGAAACAGTGCAAGTGAGAGTCAGCGTGGTTCAGTGGTTAGAGTGCTTGACTAGGACCTGGGAGACAAGGGTTCAAATCTCCACTCGGCCATGAAGATCGATGGGTGACCAACATCCCTCTCAGCCTAACCTACCTCTCAGGGTCGTTGTGAGGGGTAAAGGAGGCGTGGCAGAACCACCTTGAGCTACTTGAAGAAAAGGCAGGATAGATATGCAATAAACAAGTAAGCAAACAAGCCATGTCTTGTGCCAGGGAAACTGTGGAATCCACTGCTGCAAGATCTTTACTTTTCAAAAATTCAGTGCCTCTCAAACAGGGAGTCCTTAGACGCCAGAGCATTTTGGGGAAAGCCACGGGGAAATTGCACTGGTATGGCACCCATTAGAGGCGCACCCACAAAAGGGTTAAAACTTAAAAACCCACCACCAGAAATTGCAGTTGTGAATGCAGAAAGAACCACGGGGTCCACTCTCAGATGTGCAATCTCGGGCTTTTGCCAGTCTGTTGTGAACTACAACTCCCATCACCCACCACAGGCTAAAACTCCCAATTGCGCTGGCTGAGGCTGATGGGGAGTTGTAGTCCAAGGCGCCTGGAGGGTCCCATGCTCCCTTAGACAGATTGACTACAGATTTCAGTATGTCTTGCTTCCACATGAAGCCAGCCCCGCCATTAGACAGAGCGAGGCAACTGCCTCAGGCGGCCGCTTTGGGGGAGTGTCATTAAAAAAGCGGCAAATACTTAGGTAAAGGTAAAGGACCTCTGACAAGTCCAGTCGCAGACGACTCTGGGGTTGCGGTGCTCATCTCGCTTTACAGGCCGAGGGAGCTGGCGTTTGTCCGCAGACAGTTTTTCCGGGTCATGTGGCCAAGCATGACTAAGCCGCTTCTGGCGAACCAGAGCAGCGCACGGAAACGCCGTTTACCTTCCCGCTGGAGCGGTACCTATTTATCTACTTACATAGGTGTGCTTTCGAACTGCTAGGTTGGCAGGAGCTGGGACAGAGCAACGGGAGCTCACCCCGTTGCGGGGATTCGAACCGCCGACCTTTCGACCGGCAAGCCCAAGCGGCACAGATAAACACACTTAAGACCGCATTGTAAAAATTACATGGGGGGAAAACTCTCCCAGAAGTCAGTTTCCAAGCCATAAGCCAAGAGAGGGTGTAGAGAGAGGATGTACGTGCTCCTCAAAGGCTCCCGGTTGGCACACACCCGCCATTATTTGATCTGTTGGAGTGTTGAGCAGCATTGATCCTCCATCCCCAATAATAATAATAATAATCAATACATATAGACAGTCGGAGGGTGGAGTAAGGTGACATAATGGTCCCCTAGTGCAGCTTGCGCTGTATGTGACAGGAAATAGGGGTTTGTGGAGGCATCCCAGGAAAAAAACACTCTTTGCCCAGAAAGCAAATCCCATCTATCCCTGACAAAGCAGGCACAAGATAATTTAATTTACTAAGAGTATTGTTCGCACAGAAATGGAAACAAGAAGAGTTACCGACGAAAGGAGAACAGCAGACGAAATTAATGGACTACGCAGAATTAGGTAAGATGACCAGAAGGATTCGAAACCTGCGGGACCAGAGATTCTCAGAAGACTGGAATAAATATGTGGACTATTTGAAAAGCAACTGTAAGCAACAGATGATGCTAGCAGGACTGCAAGAAGTTTTGTAAGGAGGAATAGATGAAATATTGTAAGGAAGGCTATGATGAGAGAGTCAATAGATAAGATAATTAAAAGCAACAGTGAAACTAAGGAATGTAATTGAAGTGAAAAAATTGGAAAATTTTCAGATGTGGTTGATGGAAGTCGAAAAAAAACTGTATAAGATGTGACCTAAGTTGAGTGACTGTTGAAAATGATATATTAAAAAATGAATAAAAAATATAATAACAACAACAACAATAGTAATAATAATAATTTAATTTGCTACTATTATTATTATTACTATTACTATTATTATTTACATCTTGCCCTTTTCCCAGTCACCCAAGACGGCTTACACAAATTAAAACACAAAATACAAAAAAAGCTAAAAACACATGAATGATAATAGTTTAAAAGTCTAATTGTATTAAAACTATTATTATTATTATTATTAACAGCAGTCTGCTGGGATAGCTCAGTTGGTACAGAATGAGACTCTTAATCTCAGGGCTGTGGGTCTGAGACCCACATTGGGCAAAAATGTCCCTGCATTGAAGCGGGCTGGACTAGATGACCCCCGTGGTCCCTTACATCCCGAGCAATTCTACAATTTACTAAATTTGTACACCATCCTCATCCAACGATCACAGGGAGGTTCACAACAAAACATACGAGGATGCGTGAGGTGGCGCCATGATTTCGCTGACATGAAGGAAACACTAATATATTCCATTATGCAAATGAATTCAAAGCTGTTCCATGACTGATCAGCTAGAAGGGACATAATGATTTATAATTCAAATAACTGAGCTTTAGCATCAAATCGAGCTGAGATACTTCTAAATATGCAAGCCCGGAATGATTTCTAAAATAATGCAGAACAAGACAGCAATACAAAACGCTTGTTGCCTCTTGTTGCTTAAAATGCCCCCTATATATATATTTTTCCTCTCTCTCTTTTGTCTAATCCTTTCTAAAACTGTAATTTAAAAAATAGTTACCGGAAAAAACCCTTACGCATTATAAAAGATAAATTCCAGTTTTAAGGAACGTGCAGTGCTTGATTCTGAAGGAAAACTACATGCATATGAATGAATTTAGTGATCAGCAGGCATTTAAATTAAGCTAATTATTTTTAGCCTTTCAAATTAATCACAATTTAATGTGCCCTGGGTGTGGGAAATGGGGCCCCTAGATGTTGTCTTCAAAAAAAACACAAGGCTTCTCACACCCAGGGCACATTATATTGAGTTATATATATTGAAAATCTAATCCTCAACCTACCACAGCGGCATAATCCTCATCAGACTGAGAAGGAGGGATGAAGCAAAACAAATATACTAAAATTCAGATATTGGTCTTATTATGCCACCAGGAATGGAAGCTCCAGGTACAGGGGCAGTGTGAGAAACTCAAGCTATATAATCTAATCGGCCTACTTTGGGCCAGGCATCCCCAACCTTCGTCCCTCCAGATGTTTTGGACTACAACTCCCATGATCCCTAGCTAACAGGACCAGTGGTCAGGGATGATGGGAATTGTAGTCCAAAACATCTGGAGGGCCGAAAGTTGGGGATACTTGGTCTAGGCGCTGTTGGGTTGTTGCTTTTTTTGCAATGTAATGCAATTTATTATTAATATTTCTACACCGCTTTGTCTTTTAAAGAACAAATCTCAAAGCGGTTTACAACACATTGAAACCATCCGGAACAAAACAAATCCAAGCTTCGAGGAAAATATTTCAGATCCCTTCTCTAGGTGACACACTTGGCCATGGGTATGCAAACTAAGGCCCAGGGGCCAGATCCGGCCCAATCGCCTTCTAAATCTGGCCCACGGATGGTCCAGGAATCAGCGTGTTTTTGCATGAGTAGAATGTGTGCTTTTATTTAAAATGCATCTCTGGGTTATTTGTGGGGCATAGGAATTCATTCATTCCCCCCCACACACACACAATATAGTCCGGCGCCCCACAAGGTCTGGGGGACAGTGGACTGGCTCCCTGCTGAAAAAGTTTGCTGACCCCTGCACTTGGCTTTCCCCAGTCGCCAGCCTGGCATCCAGAAATCTCAGTGTGGTCGCAATGGGACCTGTGGTAGCCCCAAAACTCACCTGGCTGATGTCTAGGGGCACCCTACCACCAAACAGGGACGCGGGTGGCTCTGTGGGTTAAACCACAGAGCCTAGGGCTTGCTGATCAGAAGGTCGGCGGTTCGAATCCCCGCCACGGGGTGAGCTCCCGTTGCTCAGTCCCTGCTCCTGCCAACCTAGCAGTTCGAAAGCACATCAAGTGCAAGTAGATAAATAGGTACCACTCCGGCGGGAAGGTAAACGGCGTTTCCGTGCGCTGCTCTGGTTCGCCAGAAGCGGCTTAGTCATGCTGGTCATATGACCCGGAAGCTGTACGCCGGCTCCCTCGGCCAATAAAGCGAGATGAGCGCCGCAACCCCAGAGTCGGCCATGACTGGACCTAATGGTCAGGGGTCCCTTTACCACCAAACACCGGGCAAGAGGGGCAGGCAGGAGGGCGTAGCTGCTGCAAGGAGAGCGCGAAGACGGGCTTTCCCACCCAGCTCTCCAGCTGCGGGTCGTGTGCCCAGGTTGCAGGGCAAAGGATGCCCACCCATGAGTTGGGCACAACATCCGTTCAAAGTTTTGGGGTGGTGTTAAGCATTGCCTCCGGTTTTGATTCAGATCAAGGCTGCATCAAGCTTCCAGGAAATGATTGATCGAGGGGGCAGAGCGATTGCCCTATTAACAAAGGTCGCAGCATTTGGGATTTATTTATTTTTAGTTCTCAAAAGGTGTGGCAGGAAGATTCAGCCACGGAGAAAAGTGGCATTTAATCATTTCAGTATAGTCTAGTACCAAAATGTTTTTGTTGTTTTTTTAATTTGCCAAAAATGGATCAATATCTTTTCAAAATGAGGGCAAGAACATCAAGGGATGATACTGTTGAGTTTGTATAGATATTTAAGGTACGTATGTAATAGGCTCACGTATCGTTTTCTTATAAAGCAGTTGCGCTCTAGGTTGCAAATCAAGCACAGCTATCGATTGAAAAAGAAGTGTGAAGAAGTGTATCTGAAGAAGTGTGCGTGCACACGAAAGCTCATACCAATAACAAACTTAGTTGGTCTCTAAGGTGCTACTGGAAGGAAATTTTTTATTGAAAAATGGGTGTGGCTGGAGTAAAAAAATCACCGTATTTTTCCGTCTATAAGATGCCCCCATGTATATGAAGCTCCCTATTTTGGGGGGCTCTGATTTAAGAAAATGGGGGGATATGGCGTGTATAAGACGCCCCCAAATTTTGGACATTATTTTTTAGGGGGGCGGGGACCTAGTCTTATACATGGAAAAATACAGTATTCTGAAAGTGTGGCCCAAAGGTGGGGTGGGGAAGCTGAGAACCATTGGTTTGGAGAGATGGCAAGGAAGAAGCAACAGGATAGAAGTTTATAAAATTATGTCTGGCATGAAGAAACTGGGCAGAGGAGAGTTTTTCCTCCCTCCCTGTTAACGCTAGAACCTGAGGGCATGCAATGAAACGGAACGCTGAAAGATTCAGGGCAGAAGTCCTTTTTCACACGGCGCATGGTTAACCTATGGAACTCACTCACACTGGAGGCAGTGATGACCACCAATGTGGATGGCTTCCCATTACGGGCACCTGGTTGGCCGCTGTGAGAACAGAAGACTGGCTTGAACAAGCTGGGTCTTCTTATTCTGCAATTCTCTTTCATGGTGCTGCAATGGTTGGACTCGGGGCAGGCAGGTATGGAGGACTCCCTGGTCCTGAATGGGGTAACTGTGCCCCTAAAGGACCAGGTGTGCAGCCTGGGAGTCATTTTGGACTCGATACGATATCTTTATTGTCATTGTCCCTTGTGGAACAATGAAATTGTCCATGGAGGCGCAGGTCAATTCTGTGTCCAGGGCAGCTGTTTATCAGCTCCATCTGGTTCGCAGGTTGAGACCCTATCTGCCCACGGACTGTCTCGCCAGGGTGGTACATGCTCTGGTTATCTCCCGCTTGGACTACTAGAATGTGCTCTATGTGGGGCTACCTTTGAAGGTGACCCGGAAACTGCATTTAATCCCGAATGCAGCAGCTAGACTGGTGACTGGGAGCGGCCGCCAAGACCACATAACACCAGTCCTGAGAGATCTGCATTGGCTCCCAGTACATTTCCAAGCACAATTCAAAGTGTTGGTGCTGACCTTTAAAGCCCTAAATGGCCTCGGTCCAGTATACCTGAAGGAGCGTCTCCACCCCCATCGTTCAGCCCAGACACTGAGGTCCAGTGCCGAGGGCCTTCTGGCGGTTCCCTCATTGCGAGATGCGAGGTTACAGGGAACCAGACAGAGGGCCTTCTCGGTAGTGGCGCCCGCCCTGTGGAAAGCCCTCCCACCAGATGTCAAAGAGAAAAACAACTACAGTGGTACCTATGGTTACATACGCTTCAGGTTACATACGCTTCAGGTTACAGACTCCGCTAACCCAGAAATAGTACTTCAGGTTAAGAACTTTGCTTCAGGATGAGAACAGAAATCGTGCTCCAGCGGTGCGGCGGCAGCGGGAGGCCCCATTAGCTAAAGTGGTGCTTCAGGTTAAGAACAGTTTCAGGTTAAGAACGGACCTCCGGAACGAATTAAGTTCTTAACCCGAGGTACCACTGTACCAGATTTTTAGAAGACATCTGAAGGCAGCCCTGTTTAGGGAAGCTTTTAATGTTTAATAGGTTATTTTATTTTAATGTTCCATTGGAAGCCGCCATGAGTGGCTGGAGAAACCCAGCCAGATGGGTGGGGTATAAATAATAAATTATTATCATATTATTATTATTATTCAGGTCTGCAAGGGGTCAGACTACATGGCCTTTGGGTACCCCTTCCAGCTCGACAACTCTATGCCTTTATGAAACTCTGCATGAGCTCGTCTACCCAGCATGCTCAGGTATAGCAGGGGCAGGGGGAAGGGCTGGGAGGAAGCGGCTCTCGAATCCGCCACCCTGGGGCACCTGGGCCCAGCGAGGCAGCAGTTAAGGGCCTGAGTCACGCACTTCCCTCCTGAACCTCCTCTCCCGGCAGCCCAAAGTGTTCCTGGCGGGCAGGAAACGGCCTCAGTAATAGCAGGCAATAAAGGCAGCCAAGCCAGGCCAGGGTGAACCCAAGAGAAAGAGCTGCCTGTTTGTGAGTCACGCTAGAGGGAACAGCCCTCTATTCAAAGCGAGAGCCAAGATGGAGCAGGACAAGGCGGCCCCAGGTGCGAGGAGGAGGAGGAGGAGGAGGAGGAAAAAACCCCAAGGCCTTCCCCGCATCTAAGCAACAGGTAGCCAGAGCCAGGGGACAATGTTATTCCTGCACGGCCCACCCCCAAAATTAAAAATACCCTGCATTATTGCTGACGCAGGGTCCCTGGTGCACATGGAACCAGACAGAGCAAAGCAAAGGAACGGAAACAGAGGGAGAGACACATAGGTCTCTGCCCCAAGGAGTTCACACGCACTATTATTTCAGCAACAATTTCTCTACAGAAGAAAACACTCTAATAAGTCAATTCTGGTCATTCCCGTCCTCAATGCAAGCTGAAATTCTAGAAAGACGAGAAACATGAAGAAACAGACTGGCTGGGAAAGATGCATATTATTTCAGCCTTGATGGCAGAAAGTGAGGAGGAATTAAAGAACCTTTTAATGAGGGTGAAAGAGGAGAGCGCAAAATATGGTCTGAAGCTCAACATCAAAAAAGCTAAGATCATGGTCACTGGGCCCATCACCTCCTGGCAAATAGAAGGGGAAGAAATGGAGGCAGTGAGAAATTTTACTTTCTTGGGTTCCATGATCACTGCAGATGGTGACAGCACTCACGAAATTAAAAGACGCCTGCTTCTTGGGAGAAAAGCAATGACAAACCTAGACAGCATCTTAAAAAGCAGAGACATCACCTTGCCAACAAAGGTCCATATAGTCAAAAGCTATGGTTTTCCCAGTAGTGATGTATGGAAGTGAGAGCTGGACCATAAAGAAGGCTGATCGCCAAATAATTGATGCTTTTGAATTCTGGTGCTGGAGGAGACTCTTGAGAGTCCCATGGACTGCAAGAAGATCAAACCTATCCATTCTGATGGAAATCAGCCCTGAGTGCTCACTGGAAGGACAGATCCTGAAGCTGAGGCTCCAAGACTTTGGCCACCTCATGAGAAGAGAAGACTCCCTGGAAAAGACCCTGATGTTGGGAAAGATGGAGGGCACAAGGAGAAGGGGACGACAGAGGATGAGATGGTTGGACAGTGTTCTCAAAGCTACAAACATGAGTTTGACTAAACTGCGGGAGGCAGTGGAAGACAGGAGTGCCTGGCGTGTTCTGGTCCATGGGGTCACGAAGAGTCGGACACGACTAAACGACTAAACAACAACAACAACAAAGGGATGGAGACGTCATGTTGTCATAGGGGTGCCGTATCCCAAAATAAACGAAGGGAACAGGAACAGGAACATTGCCTCGGTGGGTGAAACTAAGGCGGCGTCCACAGCATACAGTTATAAAGCACCCAGCTTCTCCCAAAAGAAAATCAATGAATTGTCAAGTTGGAAGGGACCCCACGGGTCATCTGGTCCAACCCGCTGCAAGGCAGGAATCTCCAGGATCCTGGGAATTGTAGTTGTGCGAGAGAACTGTGGTTGGTCAGCAGAGAAGACAGTGGAGGAGAAGAAAGGGGCAAAAGGGTCACAGCTACAGCACACATTTAAAGCTCCCCGCCAAAAAAAAACCCCAATCCTGGGAGTTTCTTAAGGGCGCTGGGGATTGTAGTTTTGGGATGGGTGAGCTATAGTTCCCAGGACTAAGGGGAGACTACATGCTTTGAAACATGGGGTGTGGGTGTGCTCTGCGGGTCCACAGCACCAGGAATTCTTGCCCCCAAGACAGCACCTCGAATTCAGAGGTAGACTGCCTTGCAACAAGGAGGTTCAACGCGTAGCCAAGCTGTTAGCGTTAAAAGCAGCAAGACCGCTGTTGGCAGAAGCCATCTCCCTTTGATTTTAAATGCTTCCCAAAGGAGGACAGCCACACCTCAAATTTAAAGCCCTCTTATGCCACTTTAGGGACGCGGGTGGCGCTGTGGGTTAAACCACAGAGCCTAGGACTTGCCGATCAGAAGGCTGGCGGTTCGAATCCCCGCGACAGGGTGAGCTCCCGTTGCTCGGTCCCTGCTCCTGCCAACCTAGCAGTTCGAAAGCACACCAGTGCAAGTAGATTAATAGGTAACGCTCCGGCGGGAAGGTAAACGGCATTTCTGTGTGCTGCTCTGGTTCGCCAGAAGTGGCTTAGTCATGCTGGCCACATGACCCGGAAGCTGTACACTGGCTCCCTCAGCCAGTAAAGAGAGATGAGCGCCGTAACCCCAGAGTCGGTCACGACTGGACCTAATGGTCAGGGGTCCCTTTACCTTTACCTTTATGCCCATAGCTGTCAACTTACAGATTTGAAAATAAAGGACCAGCAGCCTCGAAAATAAGGGATCAGCAGCCAAAATAAGGGATTTTCCGGGCACAGGTATGTTCAACTTCTGCGCCCCTCTGAGCCAAAGACAGAAAGCCCAGCCAGCAGCCAAACAAAGCCTCATCAATAAGGGACAGCAGCTGGACATGGCGCTGGGATAAGGGACTGTCCCGCCAAATAAGGGACGCTTGACAGCTATGTTTATGCCACTTTAGGTGTCATGAATAATCCTGGGAACTGTAGTTTCAGGGTGCTGGGAGTTGTAGCTCTGCAAGGTCATCACATACGGATCCTAGGATTCTCCACGACAGTTTAATGCAGGGTAAGAGTGCTTTAAATGGATAGTAGGGACGCGGCCCTCCCAAATGATATACGGGGAAGCAGGATTCGAATTCGCTTCCCGCATGTTCAGGGCTCAAACAGATGTGAAGTGGGCACACGTCGACGGCAGCTCCCTGGCTGTTCCTCCCAAGTCCCACAGCCAATCATCTCTGTTGGGAGATCAGAGCTCTGCACATGCTCCTCAGCCTGTTGGGCACCCCCTGAATAAGCCTGCCTCATTCAAGTGTGTGTGGGAGGACGCTGCCGAGGGCAAAAAACAGTTTGTAAACCTCTTCCTGCCCCTCGCTATTTCCCCAAAGCCTAGCCCTCCAAAATTCTGCACATGCTCAAAAGTGCCATCTTCTGCATTGCCACTTTGCTTGCTTCAAAGCAAGGATCAGCACTGAAGAACATAGGGACTAGCTTTCGCCCGGGTGAACCTGCCCTGGTGTTAAGATGAGCTTCTAAAGCCCTCCTTCCTGCCCCGTCTCCGCTGGAGATATGATTGACAGATGCTGGCGACAGGGCCTTTTTGGTGGTGGCTCACATTTACAGAATGCCTTGCCTCCCTAAAATAGAGATTGCAGAGATGGACCACGCAGAGAATGAACTAAGGAGGTTTAGTTGTCTGCGGGGCTTAGACGAGCCCAGAATGTGGCAGCGGAGACAGGATCCAGCTTCCCAAGAACCTCAGCTTCAATTCAAGCAAACAAGAAGCAGGTTTCTAGTCCTCATAGAAAGCTGATAGACATTGCAAAAGCCGGGAAGGTGGTTGAGCAAGTTTTAGTAGTAGCAGGAGGTGCCTTCTGCTCTCCCCATGACAACTACAATCAGAATTGAATGTAGGAGAAAAAGGGAAGTTAACATGCAAAATAGAAAAGATTATGCAAATTGGCTCTCAATCTGCATAACCCAGAGTTCAGATTGCCTAAGGGCGGAACTTTGATATTACTGATTTGAGATGGGGTTTTTTTTAAGCATGGAATACAGCCCAGTGTTAGGGAATGAAGTTTACGGAGCAAAAAGACCAGAATGGACATTAAGAACGTACAAGAGCTTGCAGGACCCAAGCAAATCTCCACTCCCTCTAGTTTCTAGAAACTGGTGCAGGGAGTTCCACAGTTTATCAGCTGCAAATCTGCAGTTTGGGATGGCAAAAGGGTCTGTGTGACTCGGAGGAGAAGGCTTGCCTGTCTCTTAATACCCGGCTTGACTTAACTCTCCCTGGCAAAGATGCTTCCAAGTTTCCTCCAGCCCGGGCCTAAAGGATGTGGACAAGGGACGCTCCCATCCTGGAGACATCCCAAAGATTATCGCTCGGCCTCTCGGAACCAGGGACACTTCCCTTTCCTGCTCAGAGGGGAGAGAGGCAGCCAGCGTCTTGGCTGCTGTTTCCGCTCCTTTGCTGAAACACAAAATACTTGTATATATAGCACGAGGGGCCCTGGACCGGCTGGGAGAGGACGGGAAAGAGTCCAGGCAGTGCAGTGGCCGGCGGTGGCGCGAGCCACAACATCGCCACACCACCCATCTCTCAGCCACAGATGCGGTACGTGGCCTTAGGAAAAACCGCTTTTCTCGGTATGAGTCTCACGCCCCCTTCGCTTCGGGAACGATAGCCCGCCTGACCCTATCTTGCAAGACCGTTGCAAAGATTATCAGACCGTTTATGCAAAGCGGGACTCAAAAAGAGCTATGTAAATATTACGGCTGCGCCGAAAGGGAACTGCGACAGAATGTTGCAGTGCTGAGTTACTGCAGGATTCCGACAGAATGTTGCAGGGCTGAGTTACTGCAGGATTCCAGCGACTCCATCGCTTGCTCCCTTCCTCTCAGTTTGAGGTGTTGTCTCTCTTTTGGGTGGTTCCCCCTGCAAGAAAAAGATTGCTCAAACCCCAGGGGTTCCCCCAAATTTGCAGGTGTCAGCCTCGTACAAATGGAACGGTGGTGCTCTTTTGGCCTAGGAAACTAGTGGTACTTACCCCCTGAAGATTAGAAATTTGTATTTTACATTTATTTATGTAATGGGTTCGCCAGGATTCCCCACACAGCTCAGAACTAACTTCCGCCTCATCCGGCCTTGAGAGCATGCAAAACAAGAGTGCCTCTGAGCATGCGTTAAGGTCCCTCTCACCTACCTCAGAGAGACCTATCACCAATCTCTGCCTGTCTGAATTTTGAAAGAGGGCCTGTCAGGCGCGGCCTTAAGCCCCAGCACCTCTCATTTTAAAAACTGGGCAAGATTCTGGCCACATGCATTTAAAGCACTGCGATGCCAGTTTAAACAGTTTGCCCCAAAGGATCCTGGGAAGTGTAGTTTGTTAAAGGAGCTGAAATGGGTCAGGAGTTCGCAGAGCTACAATTGACAGAGCGGTCTATCGATAATTCCCTCTGCTCAGGTAACTCTGAAGACTGCAGCTCTGTGAATATGGGTGATCTAACAACTCTCAGCACCCTTAAACTACAACTCCCAGGATTCTCTGGGGGAAGCCAGGGCTGTTTAAAGCGGTATATCAGGGCGCTTTAAATGTATGGTGTGAACATGGCTTCAGTGGGAGTCTGGCCAAGCAGGAGGGCTGTCAAAAGAAGGGTTAAGAAGCGAATGGGACTTCAAACAGCTCTGCCAGATGGGAATTGTAGTCCAAAACATCTGGAAGGTACCGTATTTGTGTGTGGACAGGGGGAGGCTGCCTCAATATACCGTATTTTTTGCTCTATAAGACTCACTTTTTTCCTCCTAAAAAGTAAGAGCGAAATGTGTGGCCTTATGGAGCTGACGCAGCTATCACAGAAGCCAGAACAGCAAGAGGGATTGCTGCTTTCACTGCGCAGCGATCCCTCTTGCTGTTCTGGCTTCTGAGATTCAGAATATTTTTTTTCTTGTTTTCCTCCTCCAAAAACTAGGTGCGTCTTGTGGTCTGGTGCATCTTATAGAGCGAAAAACACAGTATGCCATGCAAACAAAACTTCCAACACAATCTGGAGCAAGACACACGTTGACCATCAATTGGTTCTTATCCTCCCCTCCCCACAGCTCAGGGCGGCAGAAATATAGGCCTTCCTCCGTTTTCAACCTACAACAACCCTGCGAAGTAGGTCAGGCCAGGAGAGGGTGACTGCCCTGAAATTCAGCTGGTGGCATTCAGGTCCAGTCAAGGACTCCAAACTGGGTTTCCCCCAAAGGCTGCCAACTTCATTTTATTTCTTTATTATTGGATCAATATCCCGCTTTTTCTCCAGAGAGCTCAAGGTGGCCTAGATGCTTCTCCTCCTTTCCATTTTATCCTCCCATCGACCCTGCGAAGTAGATTAGGCTGGGAAAAAGTCATCCGGTGGGCTTCAGGGCTGAGAGAAAATTTCTTTTAGACTTGATTATTGTAACTCTCAACATGGTGCTGCCCTTGAGACTGACCCAGAAACTCCAGCGGGTGCAGAATGCCGCGGTGAGACTCTTTATGGGGTTCACCCGGTGCTATACCAGCTGCACTGGCTCCTGGTGGAGTACAGGATCAGGTTCAAGGTGCTGGTTTTAACCTTTAAAGACCTATACAGCCTAGGACCCTCGTACTTACGGGACCGCCTCTCCTGGTATGTCCCACAGAGGACCTTACGGTCTTCAAACAAAAACATCTTGGAGGTCCCAGGCCACAGAGAGGTTAGGCTGGCCTCGACCAGAGCTAGGGCTTTATCGGTTGCGGCCCCGATCTGGTGGAACGCTCTGTCACAAGAGACTAGGGCCCTGCAGGACTTGACATCTTTCCGCAGGGCCTGCAAGACAGAGCTGTTCCACCAGGCCTTTGGCCAAGGAGCAGTTTGACCCCTTCCCTTGGTAATCCTCACAGAACTCAAGCCCAATAGTTGCCATTAATTTGATTTTGAATTGATTTTAGAATGAATTGGTTTTAGAATGCTGTGTTACATTATCGTTGTTAGCCACTCTTCGGCTGGGGAGGGCGGGATATAAATAAAATTTTGTTATATTATTATTATTCTTTTACTCGGCCTGCCCTTGCCAAACAGCTTGATAGACAGACATTAGTGTATGAGGCAGGGGGAAGCCGGTGACCCCCCCTCAAAAAAAGTCAGCATGGCCAGTCATGATGGGAGTCCAATGCCACCTGCAGTGTTTTCTCCTGCTCTGGAGGGTAGGACTCGAACCCATGGCTTCAAGTTACAAGAAAGGAGATTCCGACTAAACACCAGGAAGAACTTTCTGACAGTAAGAGTCTCCCTCGGGAGGTTGTGGACTCTCCTTCCTTGGAAGTTTCTAAGCAGAGGTTGGACGGCCATCTATCATGGCTGCTTTAGCCCAGATTCCTGGGGATTGGTCTGGATGACCCTTGGGGTCCCGTCCTCTCTACGGTTCTACAATTCTAATGCCAACTCTTGTTCCCGAAAGACCTTTGCGGGGACAAACTAAGTGTGTCTGTGCGCAAGGCCTCCAACGTCGTACACATACAAACAGCAATGTTTACCTACAGATAAACACACAGCTGGATATGAACCGCACACAAACAGCCTCCAATATACACAAAGGGCTGGGCAGACACACACAATAAAACACACACACAAATCACCACACCGGCGATGCCGTGTGAGTAATGAAATCAGAGCACCCACACTGAGGCCCTTCAGATGTGAGGCTTACTTTTTATTCATCTTACGCAGCACATCTGCCTTTGCAGAGTAAATGCACTTTTTTAAAAAAAACAACGCCTCCCGAAGGTCTCTGCCCCAAGGAGCCTGCAATTTATTTTGCTGCTAAAGAATACGAAAGAGAGGGAAGCATGGCCAGAAGGGTCACAGTAAAAATACATAAAGCGCATGGCTTACCCCATGGAACCCTGGAAACTGTAGTTTGCCGGAATTAAAGAGCTACGGTTCACAGGATTCTTGTGGAAGCCATGCAATTTCAGTGTGTCACTGGTTGTGGGTTGGGAAGGGCAGCAAAACTGGTGCCCCCCCCATACAAGCTCCACCTTGGCACTTTATAGCTTCTGCCCGCCCTGGTGCCCTGCAGCCAGGCTGGCTCTCTGCCAGTTGGACCAAGGCGCACCAATGGCTTCTAAGGCTGTGCTCGGAATGGAAAGGAAAGGGAGCAGCGGCTACCGGTCAACTGGCCACTCCCTGGAGTGGCCAGTTTAGCCTCCATGTTTAGCCTGGAGAAGAGGAGGTTAAGGGGTGATATGATAGCCATGTTCAAATATATAAAAGGATGTCACATAGAGGAGGGAGAAAGGTTGTTTCCTGCTGCTCCAGAGAAGTGGACACGGAGCAATGGATCCAAACTACAAGAAAGAAGATTCCACCTAAACATTAGGAAGCACTTCCTGACAGTAAGAGCTGTTCGACAGTGGAATTTGCTGCCAAGGAGTGTGGTGGAGTCTCCTTCTTTGGAGGTCTTTAAGCAGAGGCTTGACAACCATATGTCAGGAGTGCTCTGATGGTGTTTCCTGCTTGGCAGGGGGTTGGACTCGATGGCCCTTGTGGTCTCTTCCAACTCTAGGATTCTATGATTCTATGGCCACTGGCACTTGGCTGAGCTGGCCAGAGCCCAAGGCCAGGCAGAAACTGCTCACAGACCGAGAGGGGAGGGCCGCCCCATAAGTGGCAAGGCTTCCCCCTAGTCTTCAGAAGGCGCAGAAAGAAATCTCGCGAGACTTCATCCAGTCTCACGAGACTTTGCCACAGGCTTGGTGGTGACGATGTTCTGTGGCACCTGTATCAAAGCAGGGATGGATTAACAGTGGTACCTCGGGTTAAGAACTTGATTCGTTCCAGAGGTCCGTTCTTAACCTGAAACTGTTCTTAACCTGAGGTACCACTTTAGCTAATGGGGCCTCCCGCTGCTGCCGCGCCACAATTTCTGTTCTCATCCTGAAGCAAAGTTCTTCACACGAGGTACTATTTCTGGGTTAACGGAGTCTGTAACCTGAAGCGTCTGTAACCCGAGGTACCACTGTATTAATTTTTTTCAAAGTGGAGGCAGCTCCCACCCAGCAAACTGGCTTCGACTAGCGCCAGGAGAATGTGCAGCGAGGGAGGAACTGCAAACAGATTCCATGGCATGTACCACGCTTCCCTTTTGATGCCAAAGTACCACGTAATTCTTACCACGCTTCAGTGCTCACCGACCGGAGAGGGAAAAAAAGTCCCCACACCCTGCTCACTGCCTTTTCTACCAGCACAAAACTTCAGGAACGGAAGGCAGATGCACATTCGCGGCCGAAAACTGCAGTAGCTAACCTGGCGTTCTTTCAGTTTTTTAAAAATATTTGTTACGCTATAATAAGCAAAGCAGTCCATTATCTTGCATACATGACCCAACAAGGGAACACGTGGATAACGCGTTATCCAAAATATTGCCTTAGACCACTGAGGTAGAATCACAGAATTGTGGAATCGGAAGGGACCACGAGGGTCATCTAGTCCAACCCCCTGAATTGCACCCAACATGGGGCTAGAACCCCCAACCCTGAACTCAAGCCTTCTCTACCGACTGAGCTGCGCACAGCCTTTGACCAAATACAAAACCTAAAGCAACCCAAAGCATCCACGCAGCCGCGATAGGCTCGCCTCTCCAGTTAATCCGGAGTTACTAACCCGGAGTAAAGATAAAACAACAACAAAGGCACGAGTTACGCATCCACGAGCCCAGACCCCAGGCTTTAGAGACTTCCCCCGACGGAGGTCTCTTGCTCTCCCCCTACCACAGCCCCATGGCGAACCCCCTGCCCCCCCCCTCGCCTTGCGCACCTTCTGATCCACGATGGAGCACGCCAGTTGCTTGACGTGGGCGAGATCGGAAGATGCGGGTAGCAGGACGAACTCGCGGGTCAGCCCGATCTGGATCTGGAAGGAGACGCCGTGGCAAGGCGAGGCGCCGGCCAGGGCGCACGACGGAGCCGGCGCCGGCTCGGGGGCTGTTGCTGCTCCCGCTGCCGGGGACATTGGGGCTGGAGAGCAGGACGAGGAGCGGCCGGGAGGAGAGGCCATCGTGGTGGTGGTGGTGGCGTCGGGGCGGCGGTCGCCGGAGTCTCCCCGCCACCTCCCACCCCGCAAAACGGGGAGGGTTTCACATGGATGGAGGCTGGAGCGCCCGCTTGCCTGCCCGACGGTGCGCCTTGGTGCGCTCTGCGCGCGCGTCTCCAAAGGCCACCGGCGAAACCGTGCGCTCCTGATGCGCCAACAAACTTTTCTCTCCCTCTCTCGCTTTTCTTTCCCCTCGCCTTCCCCCCCCCCTCCGCCCCGAGAAGGAAGTGCCTTGAGTGACAAGGCGCGGCGCCAATGGCGGGCGGCGGCGATGAAGTCACGACACCCCGCCCCGCCGCTCCGGAGTGGATCCGGAACGGCTGGCGAGGCACCGGGGAGCGTGCCGGGAGGAAGGAGGCGAGATGCGGCGCTGGCAAGCGAAACGGGGGCTCAGCGCGCACTGCGGGGCTGGGAGGGGGGGGGTGTCCGGAAAAACCAGCCTTGGGCGCATGGGAGAAAGAGTGCCCCTGAGCGCGTGCAGAGTGCATGTCGGCCGTCTCTTAGTCAACTCATTCGGGGGGGAAAGATTTGGTTTGCAGGTTAGTTTGAACCCCTGGCTCGCCTCTCTTTAAAAGGCGACTAGCTGCTGCCTTTATTTTGTCCGCCGTTTAAGAAGTTGGAGAGAAAAGATGACGGTCTCTGCCCCGCAGGTGTTGCAGATCCTTCCAGGTTGCATTGCAGTGCGCTGGTGGGGAATCGGGGATGGAGGCAGACCCTCTGTGCTCCTAGTTGGTTTCCAGGAAGATCCGGACTCCTCTCTCCAGGATTCGGGAAAGGCTGAGCGGAGTCTCTGCCCCGTAGCCATTACAAACCTCTCCAGCTGTGGCTAAGGGCGTGGAAGCCTCTTCCTGTCTTTCGACACCGTGCCAGCAGGTGTCAAACCTAATTGGGAGACGACGACAGCAGGGATGAGGAAAATCCCAAATTTCCCTCGCTGCTGGAGACGACTCCCCGGAGGCTGCCCTGTTTTCTTCGCCGGCTACACTCATTCCATCAGCACGTCGTGCAAGAGCGCTCCCTGCTGGCAATCCCCGGCCTACAGCCTCTTCTGTTTCGGTTCTTTATGCCAAAACCCAACCCTCGTAAGAAGGCGGGGATTTAAAAAAAACAAGAGAACCTCTGAGCCTGAACAAAGTGCTCACTTTTCACCTGAGTTAACCTCACCTGGTCCCCACCCAGCGAGGAATTTCCAGGTAGATTTTCACTACGCCAATCTGCATAATGACAGGGCCTCAGAACAAGGTAGAGGCTGCCTTAGAGAAAGAAGTCGCAGAGGACTAGAAGCTTGTTGCGCTTGCAGTTTGCAAGGGGGAAAGTATTATTATTCAACCTGGATGGCAGGTTGAGAGGAGTTCCCTACCAGGACAGACTTTGCTCGTGTGCTCAAGACATCGATTCTATAAAACATATTTTGCAGCACTGTGCGAAATATGAGCAAGCCAGGGCTGAACTGATACTACCCTTGCTGGTACCTTTCCCGGGAAAATCAGAGGCTCACTATGTCAGGTTCCTATTGGAAGACCGGACAAACGCTAGAACATTAGCAGTGGCAAAGTTTTTATCGGTGGTTGCAAGAACCAATGATCCCTATATTCTGAACAAAATGCTTGTTTAACCTGGAGGTAGGCTGTATGAATTGTGTATTGCTTTGTAACAATTTGTTGGGTCTCTGGACGGTAATAAAGATTGTTGTATTATTATTATTATTATTATTATTATTATTTTAATGTACAATGCTGCCACCAAGTTAACCAGAGGTACTTTTGTAGTCAAGATTCTCTCTCTCTCTCTCTCTCTCTCTCTCTCTCTCTCTTTAATGCACTCATTCTGCACCGGGATGGAGAGCCTGTGATGGCATGGTGCTCAGGTTTAATCCTGCCATCTCCAGGTACGACTGGAAGAGACCACCTGCCCAAAACCCTTGAGAGCTGCTGCCAATCATGTAGACAATACTGAGAAAGATGGTCCACGATTAATAATAATAATAAAAATTTATTATTTATACCCCGCCCATCTGGCTGGGTTTCCCCAGCCACTCTGGGCGGCTTCCAACAAAACACTAAAATACAATAACCTATTAAACATTAAAAGCTTCCCTAAACAGGACTGCCTTCAGATGTCTTCTAAAAGTTTGATAGTTATTTCTCTCTTTGACATCTGGTGGGAGGGCGTTCCACAGGCCGGGTGCCACTACCGAGAAGGCCCTCTGCCTGGTTCCCTGTAACTTGGCTTCTCGCAGTGAGGGAACTGCCAGAAGGCCCTTGGCGCTGGACCTCAGTGTCCGGGCAGAACGATGGAGGTGGAGATGCTCCTTCAGGTATACTGGGCTGAGGCCATTTAGGGCTTTAAAGGTCAGCACCAACACTTTGAATTGTGCTCAGAAATGTACTGGGAGCCAGTGTAGTTCTTTCAAGACCGGTGTTATGTGGTCTCGGTGGCCACTCCCAGTCACCAGTCCAGCTGCCGCATTCTGGATTAGTTGTAGTTTCTGGGTCACCTTCAAAGGTAGCCCCACATAGAGCGCATTGCAGTAGTCCAAGCGGGAGATAACCAGAGCACGCACCACTCTGGCGAGACAGTCTGTGGGCAGGTAGGGCCTCATCCTGCATACCAGGTGGAGCTGGGGGACAGCTGCCCTGGACACAGAATTGACCTGCGCCTCCATGGACAGCTGTGAGTCCACCTGCTCCTTCATTAAGGCAACCTTCTGTATTCCTGTGTTCCTAAGTGCTTGGTGATGTACTGGCAAAGGGAGCTCAGGCGGTTAGAGCGTGCAGTGCTGATAACGCCAAGGTTGCAGGTTTGATCCCCACATGGGGCAGCTGCATATTCCTCTTCTCCCTCTCCACTTTATAAACTTCTAGGCATCCAGTAAAACTGAATCTTGGAAGATTCAGGACAGATGAAAGGAAGTTTGTTATTCATGCAACGTTTAGTTAAACTATGGAACTCACCGCCACAGGAGGGAGGGAGGGCCCTCCAACCTGGGTGGCTTCAAAGGAGGATTAGTCAAATTCACGGAGAGCAGTGAAGCTCTCAAATGCTGCTAACGCTGCCTCCATGGCTGGATGGATGCAGCAGTACTTCTGAATCTCAGTTGCTGGAAGCTATAGGAAGTCCTGAGTGCTCACTGGAAGGACAGATCCTGAGGCTGAGGCTCCAACACTTTGGCTACCTCATGAGAAGAGAAGACTCCCTGGAAAAAACCCTGATGCTGGGAAAGATGGAGGGCACAAGGAGAAGGGGACGACAGAGGGCGAGATGGTTGGATGGTGTTCTCGAAGCTACCAGCATGAGTCTGACCCAACTGCGGGAGGCAGTGGAAGACAGGAGTGCCTGGCGTGCTCTGGTCCAGGGGGTCACAAAGAGTCGGACACGACTAAACAACAACAACATAGGAAGGAAGAGGGTTCTCACAGGCGTCTGTTGGCCACTGTGAGAACAGGATCCTGATGGGCCATTGGTGTGACCCAGCAGGACTTGAATTACATATGTTGATATCCAGTGTCCTGGGCCCAGAAAATCCTGTTGGCCCCTTAGAGCTCAGAAGCAAGCCTTGATAGTTAAGAGCAGGGGTCAGCAAACTTTTTCAGCAGGGGGCCGGTCCACTGTCCCTCAGACCTTGTGGGGGGCCGGACTATATTTTTTTGGGTGGTGAACGAATTCCTATGCCCCACAAATAACCCAGAGATGCATTTTAAATAAAAGCACACATTCTACTCATGTAAAAACACCAGGCAGGCCCCACAAATAACCCAGAGATGCATTTTAAATAAAAGCACACATTCTACTCATGTAAAAACACCAGGCAGGCCCCACAAATAACCCAGAGATGCATTTTAAATAAAAGGACACATTCTACTCCTGTAAAAACACGCTGATTCCTGGACTGTCCGCAGGCCTGATTTAGAAGGCGATTGGGCCGGATCCGGCCCCCGGACCTTAGTTTGCCTACTCATGGTTAAGAGTTTGTTCCCCCCACCCACTCTGAAAGTCAGCCCAAGTTTATAATTGGCACGTGCAAATTTGGGGGGGGGGCAAGCAATGCCCACCTCTGATCTGGCAGCGGGTCATTTACACATAGCAATGCCCATTTATGCCAAGAAACGCTTCCTGTTTTCCAACACACTCTTCCTTTTGCGGCGAGACGCAGTGGAGAGTTCTCCTGGGGTTTGAGGAAGTCTTGGCAGTCCACTTCCTTGCACTGGAGATGCTGAAGGAGAAAGGGTTTCCCCTGTAATAAACGGAAATCTGCCCTTATTCCCTTATGGGGGACCCAAGAGCCCTTATAGAGTCCTTTGCAGGTTCTCCATCAGCCGGACAAAAGAACAGAGGCCAAACAGAGAATATTGAGAAGCAAAGCAGCTCATAAGCCTGATCTTTATTGAACTGTTGCAACAGGGTGCCCCCTTCGCACGCAGGAAAGGAGGAGGACCCAAAATAAAGGTGTGTCTGCCCTTTAAATTGCCCGCCCTGGAGTCCAAGACCACCCCCAGAAACATCATACATAAATCACAGAAGGAGTGTAGCTCAAGACAACCCCCAGGCACATCATACCTACATCACAGAAAAGGCGGTCTACAGCAGAAATCTGAGTGCCTTGTTTAACTCCTGTCTGGCAGGTTACCTGTTAATGCTTACTTGATTGGATACCCTGGGTATCCTGGCCAGTCTTTTGTAATGATAAATACTTAGTTCCTGAGCCAGGTCACGGGCTCACCCTATTCATACACAGACATACCCTTAAGACAGGATTTGTGAAGGAAAAGACAATGGGGAGGCTTTTCCATTTTCCTTCGACCTTGCAGAGAAATCATTTGGTCAATTTGGGAGTCAAAATGGTTTCAGGGCTGTTTTCATGTGCTGCTTCAGACATGAGGTTTATATATATATATATATATATATATATATGTGTGTGTGTGTGTGTGTATATATATATATATATTTATGTGTTTGCTTGGTACATTTATGAACATTTATTATATATATATAAGACCTTACATTTTTTATTTCACCCCGATGGCGACCTCTTTTACTCTCTCGCTTCTTGGCTTTTTCTTCCTCCTCCTCCTTCTCCTCCCCTCTCCTTTTCCTTAAAAACTGGCAGAGTTATTCAGGAGGCTGGTGTGGTGTAGGGGCTAGGAGCCTGCCGTGATTTGGAAAGCCTGGAATTCCCTTCAGACAGGCTCTTCCTCTCCCGGATCTGCAAAATGGGGATAATGACACTCACTCACACACAGCACAGCCCAGGCTTGTGGCCGCCACATCAAGGAACTCGGAAGCACAAAGGGATTTATCCAACATTAGTCATGCTTGGAGTAGACCGAACAAAACCCATGCAGCTAAGCTAGATATGCCTGTTCATTTTGATGAATCCACTTCATGTATGAGTAACACGGGGCACAATCCTAATTATTTCCCCCACTGCTTTAAGGAGGGGCTGCGGAAGCAGAGTACACATTCTGCATGCAGGAGACTCTTGGTTTCAGTCCCTTGGCGGCTCTAGTTGAAGAGGATCCCAGTGGAGGGGCTCCCTTGCCGAAATAATAATTATTATTATTTATTATTATTATTAAAGCAGAGACATCACCTTGCCAACAAAGGTCCGTATAGTTAAAGCCATGGTTTTCCCAGTAGTGATGTATGGAAGTGAGAGCTGGACCATGAAGAAGGCTGATCGCCGAAGAATTGATGCTTTTGAATTCTGGTGCTGGAGGAGACTCTTGAGAGTCCCATGGACTGCAAGAAGATCAAACCTCTCCATTCTGAAGGAAATCAGCCCTGAGTGCTCACTGGAAGGACAGAGCCTGAAGCTGAGGCTCCAATACTTTGGCCACCTCATGAGAAGAGAAGACTCCCTAGAAAAGACCCTGATGTTGGGAAAGATGGAGGGCACAAGGAGAAGGGGACAACAGAGGACGAGATGGTTGGATAGTGTTCTCGAAGCTACCAGCATGAGTTTGACCAAACTGTGGGAGGCAGTGGAAGACAGGAGTGCCTGGTGTGCTCTGGTCCATGGGGTCACGAAGAGTCGGACACGACTAAACGACTAAACAACAACAACAACATTTATTATTTATACCCTGCCCATCTGGCTGGGCTTCCCCAGCCACTCTGGGCAGCTTCCAACACAATATTAAAATACAACAATGCCTCAAACATTAAAAGTTTCCTTCAGATGTCTTCTAAAAGTCTGGTAGTTGTTTTTCTCTTTGACATCTGGTGGGAGGGCGTTCCACAGGGCGGGTGCCACTACCGAGAAGGCCCTCTGCCTGGTTCCCTGTAGCTTAGCTTCTCACAGTAAGGGAACCACCAGAAGGCCCTCGGAGCTGGACCTCAGTCTCTGGATAGAACGGTGGTGGTGGAGACGCTCCTTCAGCAAGCCACTTTCATAGGTTTCATAGGTTTTATATTTTATATAACCTTCCCTTTTTTGCAGGAAATTCCCTTATTCCAGCACCGTTTCCCGCTGCTTCCCACTGCTATCCCACATTGTTAGATATCCCGTAGACTGTCCCCGGGACAGGTGAGGCTGCTGATCCCTTATTTTCAAATCTGAAAGTTGACAGCTATGTTTATATTCCTGATGGGGCTTACCTGCCATGTGAAGCACACTAAAGGATTGCAATCTCCATTTCTTTCCAAATAAGTCCACAAGGAACTCGCCCTCAAAAGCACTGAGTGCGCCAGATGCCCCCATGGATCTCAGTTATCCACTTGCGGGAGAAAGACAACGATCCACACCCAACTCTCTTCCACTTCTTTGCCTAGCTGCCTGGCGGGCGACTCTTGCTACCCACCCAGCAGCGACCAGGCCAGCGGCTGTTTACAAGCCTGAGTTAATCTGATGGCGGACATTTAAGCAATTGAAAATTACTTAGAAAGTTGACAACCCTTGTTAATTAATTTATTTTTTTGCTGCTTTTCCGGTGTGTCTGTGTGGATTTCCATGCCGTCTCCAGGGTTTTAGACTGCTTGGCTTCAGAGAAAAAAGTATTTTTCCATGCAACGGCTGCAGCTCGGACTTTGGTGGCAAAGGGGTGGAAGGAAGAAGAAGTCCCGACAATAACGGATTGGCAGAACAAGCTACAAGAATTTGCTGAAATGGCGCAGTTGACAAATAGCCTGAGAGGCAATTCAAAACAAAAAATTATGGAAAAGTGGAATAGATATAAGATATATCTATATTCAAAAATACAGTAAAGGTTCGCTATCTACGCTAGCATTCGATTGACGTTGGAGAGAGACTGAGTTGAGAAATAAGACCAAGGGTACATAGTGATACAGGAATGTATTAGATAAAATGTAAAGAAATATACAATAATAAGAGTACATTCATTTGTAAAAAAAAAAGGAATATACAGTGGGATAGACAGGAAGTCCAAAGTGTTGGTACATATATTATTTTGGAGTAGTTTTTTGTCCTTGTTTTTTTTCTTTTAGTATATAAACTTTGTATACATGTTGAAAATTATAATAAGCCTTGTGATGTAATAGGATAATGTTTACCGATGTAACATAAGAACTTTAATAAATAAATAAAACTCAAAACGAGAGAGAGAGAGATCACTATGGTGTTATCTTAGAAAACAGCGTGGCTGCGACTGTCCTAAAGGAACCCTGCACTTTTGGATTTGGCACCAACCTACTATTGAGCTCGCTGCTGTGTATTTGCATTCGTCTAGTACCAGCTCTCCAGGGTTTCAGGCATGAAAGTCTTTCTTCCAGCTGTGCTGGAGCGATGAGCCGGTTTGAACTTGGAACCTCTGGCATGCAAACCAGGTGTTCCAGCACTCCAGCCCTCTCTGAGCTGCATTCCTG